CCATACATCAAGAACACGACACAGCAAAGTATCCTCAAAAACGTTTGCTATCCCGAATAAAATTAATGGAATCTCCTTATATGAAATAAAAAAAAAGAACAAAATTTCACATAGTGACTTGGCAATTGCCCTGAAAAAAACCTTCCATTAATCCAAGCAGAATTATCGGCAATCTTTCGGTTGCTTTCGATCATTGACTTCCAAAGGATCAATCTTTTAACCCATTGACTTGTATCTACCTTTCGTTTACTGTCTTACAAACGCAGAAGAAAAATAGTAAAAGTAAAATTTAAGACTAATGCTTTTAACGGGCAAGATTTATCTCGTAAATGAAAATGGTCGTCTTGAAGAAGACAAACAGTTTTAAGATATCCAATAAAAAATGTTTGATTTTTTCACTTTTTTGAAAGTAAACTCCTTTTCAACAATCATACAACAGTGGTTTTAATTAAAAAGAGAAAAAGAAAATGTAAACAAAAGGGAATGGTAAAGGTAGATAAAAATGCTTGCTGGTTGATATGTATTCTCATGGCAATACTTTGATTTCTTTGTTCTGGGAATTACCTGTTGTTTTGGCGCGCAATCGAAACGAAAAAGCAATTAAACGAGAAACGAAAAAGAGACGTGGAATTCCACGGAGGTGTGATTAGTTAGTTGATCGATCAGGTAGAGAAACGGAGGGTAAAGTGGAGCGTGAACGCAAAGTGAAACTCTCGAGATAATTTACTAATTTATTAAAATAAGTTAAAAAATGCTTATTGCTATTTTTGCATATTAATTTTTCAATTTATTAATGCATTAAAAATTATTAACATTTGTTAAAATATTTGTTGATTTACGTTTTTTTCTTGGTGTTTCACTTCACCTCACCTTCCCCTACGTTATAGCAATTCACATAATTCCTTCGTGGCTTTCAGTGAGTAAAAACTTTATTTCATTGATTAATATTTATTTTAGATTCATATTTCACCTCTTACTGTTGAATGCACTAGTTGACTTTTAAGTGCCAAATTAACATTTTATTCCAGTTGATAAATTTTATTAGTAATTTATTTTTAGTATTTTTTAATGGAGAGTTTTTATTCAACAAAGTTTATTGATAAAAAATACTGATTAATTACGTTATTGGAGCTTTTGAATAATTCTTTTTATCATCATGGTAAGAAGTATGTTAACAACTAGTTAAAGCTATTTCTACTAAAAAAAAATAGACAAATGTAGTATTCATAGCCGAACATGGATTACGTTTATAGATATTTGACAAAACCTATATGTGAAAAAAAACTAATTCGTGCAGTTCGAGGTGAGAATTGATCAATCGAATAATAATTAGTTGAAACGTGGATAGAATATCAAAATTCAAAAATAACTATTGAAACTGAAATGTGTTACAGTAAATACATAGAAAAATATTCAATGTTAAATTCTATAAACAAATGATATCGATTGTAACATACTGTGAAGCGTATAAGAAATGACTGCAAGACATTTGTAGTTCTTTTACTAATTCATATGTAACACACTTTGATATACAGTGGACTCCTGAAAAGTTTACATCGTTTGAAGAAAATTAATTCAGTATATGGGTTTAGACAAATAAGCTTGGTTATTTCACTAAAAGCTCGTTGCAAGGCTTTACTGTTAAATCCTAACATTCATAATAGATGTTATAATGTATATACAGGATTTACATAGATTGATATAAATCATCAGATCTCTATAATGCTTTCGTTAATAAGTACCATGTATATTAATAAGCTGATTCAAGAGAATTATTCTCACTTTGTAATATTTTATTTACTTTTCTAAACTTTCCTTAAGAAAAAATATTTTAAAGTATGAAGTTGTTTCAATGTTTTTTTCCAAGAACTTTCATTTTACAAAATTGAAACAAAGACCATATCATTTTGAAAAAAATATCAATTACTATTTTTTTACTCTCTTAAACTGAATCAATGGAAACCACTGGAAATTTTTGAGTATTCACTGATTCGTTGAAAAGAGGATATTGAACAAACGGTATCATTCAGAATGATTTTTTTCTTTAATTGGTACATATACATTTGTATTTTTAATGGAAAACAGAAGTTAAGTCGTTACTTTAAGAACGACATCAACGATGGTCAATTTACTGCAAATTCAAGTGCATCCTTATAACACATCTAAACGGAGTAAATACGACGTCATCCATTTGATTAACATTGTAGTCACTTTTAATGAGTTTCTAAGTGTATGAAAAGTGACTTCAATGTTACTTAAATAGGTGAAGTCATTTTTACAATGTTTAAACGTGTAATAAGAATGTACTTGGATTTGCAGTGTTATTCAAGACAGACTATCTTGTCTTAACAGAGCTGGATTAATTCCAAGCTACTGATATTTATATTTGATTGAACTAAAGCTCAACAAGACTTTATCGTACTTCTGGTAACTCTCAATGGACATAGTATTGCAGCTTGACGTCGGTGTGGTTTAACTTTCATGATTATATCAATTTTGTGTCGATTTTGCTAGCACTCGAGACCTACGGGTTATTGAGTTACGTAAAGTGACACTTTCGGTAGAGAATGACGCTTGAAAATTTACCCTGACATGAATATTGTATGTAATGTACTTGCTCACATGATCAACGAGACTACCTTTGATACATCGTTAAAAATTTTATACATATTTTCAGTAATATACTAGTATTAGTACGAAAATATTGATCGCTATTGTTAGCAAGTTTTTGTTTTAGTTATGCGAATTTAATTAACTTGGATCGTGTACAGATAAATAGAGAGTTGTTTACATATATATATATATTTATTTAAATAGATTCTGTATCATTAGCATTACAAAACAACTCTTTCCAACAACTTCATAGGCGTTGACACGATGAGATGATGACTGGCAGAGCTAATTACCTATTAAGCTGTGTTCATAATATATGCATGAAATTTCTACGAAAAATACTCCTTACTTCGTTAATTGGAATTTGAAGTGTATGACAGTGAATACAGTAAAAAAATCATGTTTCATTCAAATAAGATTCATTCATAGTTAACATGGCATTTTTACTGTAATATCAGGATAATATGTTAGCTATAAATAAATCTCATAAACAAATGGTAGATTTTGATACTCTCTAAGGAGTGTGCAAACCGACTCCAAGATCCCATAGTTTATATATATCAATTTAACGTTGAATACCTTTAAGGTATATTATTTTAACACTCTTCAGATTTCAGTATACCTTACATAGAACAAAGGAATATTATCATAACACTGATATCACAGTTTCTTTTAAATATGTACTTCAAAGAATCCAATTAGTGGAAATTTCCTTTTTTTTCCTTTTAGTTGTTAGTCAATTATAAACTTAATTCAAATATAAATACCCAAAGGCTATTATGCTAATTATAAGTGAATAATAAATTAAATATTTTTCTTTATAGAAAAGGAGATCTGTTAGTTTTAAACTAATTACAAAAGATGTGATTTTACTACGTAGAAGATAATTTTTTACAATGAAAATATTATTCGATTTTTTTGTTATATATTTATTGCACAGTAAAAACATGGTAAAGCTTCAAATAATTTAAAAAATATTATTGCAGAGAGGATAAAAATGTTTATACTTAGATTATCAATATTTATTCCATGAAAAATGCCATTCTTTTATATTCCACATTATTGATGAAATTTTCTATCATGTAATCATATTTATGGAGAGAAGTTTTTCTTTAAATGTAAGTGCAAGAAATGACAAGTGCACGTTTTGAAGTTTAGAAGTAAGAATATTTCTATCCAATAGTAAATTCCAAGTTCTTGTAAATAAATTAGATTTTTAAGAGATGTCTTCGTAAAATAATTACTCACGATAACCAGAAACTATTTACGACAACTTCAAATTTATGTTGAACAGACATGTCTGTACTTCTATTATTCAAAAAGTACATTTGTTATTTTTTACGTACAATTAAGGCAAAAATTTTTTTCAAATAAGAATGAAGTAGTAAATTTATTTTTAGAATTATCATAACTATTTTAAATTCTATTTTGATATATATATATTTTTTAAAATCAGAATTATTCGAAATTGAATGGTTTAGAATTGTATAATTAAATAAAGCATGTGATTAAACCTAGTACAAATTATTCATTACTGCTAATTCACTTATGAAATTAACAATCATATTTTTAAATTTGAACGACTTATAAACTTTTAATTAATCCTGCATCATTAATACTCAAATAATGAATAAAAAAATTCTACAATTATTTGTATTATTTCATTAATTATTTCTCATGCTCGATTAAATTTTGGAATATTCACTCTATAAATACTTGAATAAATGTTATAAAAAGCTATATTATAAAATAATCATTTCTTTCTGAAAGTAGATATAATTCATCATGATTAAATGATCAATTTAAAGTCATTTACATATTTAAGACACAATGATGATCTTGATAAATAGCTCAAAAAGCAAAAGTTTTCCATAAAAGTAGTGATATTTTTCATTCAATAAATTATGTCTCCTTCTTTGTCAGCTGCAAACAATTTTCTCAGTCGTTGGCATTCAAAACACAAGTGTCTCGTATATAAATTATCATTTAAAACGTTAAAAGCATAAGAGGGAAAGTGCTATAGAAGAGAAAAGAAAGAGAAAAAAAGAAATTAAAACTTACTGAAGTTACTCGACTAAGTTAGTGGGTTGATCTATTGACTCGAGTTGAAAAGTTTTCTAGCATATTTTTCCACTATAGTCTCCTACCACGATCAAATGTGCAAATCTACTGAGTCAGCTGTGAATTTTGGTCACGTTTGAATCATGTGAATACACATCGCCAAATCGCGGATTTACCTTTGCTAACTTCAGCAAAATTTATTCGAATAAATCACGCAAACATAACTCCATATGGATATTATATTTTGTATATGCAATTTGTTTATAATAAAACAATTTTTCGTAGTAAATCTAAATACCATATTAATCATTGGTTGTATTTTTCAGGTGAATGGGACTTGGGCATTGCCAGCATTTGTTTGTGATTTTTACATAGCCATGGACGTCACATGTAGCACAAGCTCCATCTTCAATTTGGTGGCAATATCAATAGATAGGTAAGATATTATTGTAATAAATATTTTTTTATAAAAAGTTTTCTGATAATATTGGTATGTTTCAGATATATTGCAGTAACAAAGCCGATAAAATATGCAAAGCATAAGAACAATCGAAGAGTGTGGATGACAATCCTTTTAGTATGGGCGATTTCAGCTGCGATCGGTAGTCCGATCGTTCTTGGCCTAAATAATACTCCAGACCGTCTGCCAGATTTGTGTTTATTTTATAACTCAGACTTTATCATTTATTCGAGTCTATCGAGCTTTTATATCCCCTGCATTATTATGGTTTTTTTGTATTGGAATATTTTTAAAGTAAGCCACTTTATACTGATATTTATTTTATATACCATATTTTATATTCTAAAGGTGAAAAAATTTATGAATTATAAATTAAATTGTAATTCTAGGCTCTACGAAATCGTGCTGCACGAGCGAGAGCTAATAAAAAACCTAATCTTCGAGGTATCAAGCCGAATAGTATAATTGAAAATATTGTACATACTCAACGGTAAGTCAGTAGAAAAAAATCATTTCATTTAAATCTACTTTTTATTCAGATAAACTCATAAAGAATACTAATACATTTCTTATTTATTAAATCTAGCAATAATTTTTGGTTTTTTCATTTAAATTGTTTAATTAAACTGTTATCGATACTATCCTAGTTACACGGTTATTGATTTTTAAACTTTTTCTACCAAATTTCATTTAATTCAGAAAATTTCCAATAATTTACTAAGTATTTTAATTCAATCTAAATTAATTAGTGGTTTATATTTAGTATGAAGTATATGATCTATTTTTGAACCTTTATTACAAAAAACCGTTGTTTTAATTTTCTCATATTAAGTATAAGATTATAAAACAAATTGAAAAAAAGTGGCAATTAAGTGTAAATCGAGAGAAAAGTAGTTAACTCTGACTAAGATCAAGCAGTGCTTATTCTGTCGCAAGGTTTGCGGAGACGGCGTTGGGGACAGCGGCATTAGTTGGGACGGTAGTAGAAGAGCCAACAAATACAGCATCTGGTAGTAACGAAGACGAAGATGAAACGCCTGTTGACCCAACTGTTACCATTTCTAATGATAAGAGTAAAGAATTTTTCATGGCCACTGTCGTCGAGGAAGCTGCGTAAGAATAATTCAATTCCATTATCTAATAAGTTTTTCATGTCTTTTAAAAGTTTTACGATCGAGTTCACTGCAGATAAAAAAAGATCATTATTTCCGTATCATCTATTATTTTCAGAGTCGTAGCTCAAGCGCATTTAACGAGTTCTCGCTCAAAAAATAGCTCGAGTTATGATGAGGGTCTGAGTAGTACTCAGCTTCATGAAGTGATAGATACAAACTCAAGTCCTAGTCCAAATCCTCGAATAACTTCAGCTCCATCATCATCAACTTCATCTTCTCCGCCACCTAAAGTTGCAACAACAGCACAACTTAAAAAAAATAGTAATGGTCTCAACAAACAAGAACTAAAAAAATTAAAGAGCACCAGTTCCCTTCTACCAGTTCAGTTGAGAAGGAGTCCTAGTGTTCTTACAACCAGTGACTCTACTAAGAAGGAAAATAAGACTGAAAGTAGTAGCTCAAGATTCGGGATATACAAAACTAACAAAGCGAGTAAAAAAAAACGAGAGAAAAGCTCGGCAAAGAAAGAACGGAAAGCTACTAAGACTCTAGCTATTGTACTTGGTAAGCAAGAACTTCGCATATAAATTTTCATATTATTAATTGTTTTATTATTTATAATTATAGCAAAATGTACATAAATTCATAAGCAAATATCCGTGAATATTATTTATGTTTAATTTTAAATAATATTTTGAAGATTTATTTAAAAGTTTTTAAGATATTATGAGAAAATATGAGGAGATATTGAGCTTGCCCACAAACTTCTACCGCTTTTATTAGTTATTAAATGAACATAAGAATTTGAATAAATTTCTTTATTTCAGTTTTTCAATTTCTTCGGCTTAAAATGATTATCTTCTTAGAAGAAGATATCATCCTACATATAATGAAGAATTAACGTTTTTTTTAATGAACAAAATTATTTTTATAGTCCCTTTAATGTCGTTTTCAATCTTCTTCATTCTTACTTTTATCTTGCATTGTTACCTTGACTATTTTTAAATGTTTTTATTTATTGCAGGTGTCTTTCTTATTTGTTGGGTCCCTTTCTTCACGTGTAACGTCATGGATGCTCTGTGTGTGAAACTACAAATGGATTGCCAACCTGGTATTACAGCATTTATTGTAACTTCCTGGTTAGGATATATGAATAGCTTTGTCAACCCCGTTATCTACACAGTGTTTAACCCAGAATTTCGAAAAGCGTTCCGAAAACTTATTAGAATTTAGGGAAAAAATGTAAACCTCAAGATTTTACTGAAAGTAATAATAAACTAATTAACTAAATAGAAACGATTAATAGAATACTTGTAATAATAGATAGAGAACATTTATGATTGAGTGAAATGAGATTTTGTTTGAGTTTGTCAAATATCAAAGTCCTGTGACAAATGCCAAATAATTTGCACTGTACAGTTGAAATATATTATAGAGATATCGTTGAAATTTGTTAACATAAATGAATGATCTGTAAAGGCCAACGATATTTGTAGATACGTAAACAAAATGATGTATTATAGCAAACAAATACGCCGCGGCAGTATTAAATTAATAAATAGATTATGTACAATAGCAATATTTTTTCGCTCAATGGATAGATATATTTTTCTTGTAAACTAAACTCATGCTTAGATGTTATTTCAAGTTTTATTTCATTTCACTTAATTGATTATAATGAGCACCAAAGATAATTTCTCCGAACGAATTTTAAAAAAAAAACATATCAAAACACATCCCAATAACAACAAATAGAATTTAGGTCTATACCATAAGATAGTTTGATAAAAAATAAAACAAAAATTTTTTGGATAAAATACTGAAAACATATGATAATGATAAACCATGTCAAATTTTTGACCCCTACATGAAAATAATTATTATGATCTTAAATTGATAAACATTGTGAATATTAATATATCCTCATTATGTAAAATTAATTTCAAAATATTCTTCTTAAGCACAACATTTGCATTTTAAGAAAAATGTTTGAAATTAATTATAATAAAATTATTTTAATTATAATGATACTTTTATATGGAGCGATAAAAAATATTTATATTATTTTTTTGTGGGGGTGGTAAACGCATAAAACATCGAGTCACATTTACAATGGTGCAATAATTATGTAAACAATCAAAGCTTTTGACTCTGTTGTCTGTGAGAATAATGCTATGATAGCTATTGATATTAATGTATGTAAATTTGTAAATAGCAAGCAGAACATAAGAGATAATTACGCTCAAGTCGTGGTACGTTTTGCAAGTGGTAACATTATTAATCAAATTTACACGACTTTGTGCGTGTAAAAAATAACAGCTTTACGAATTAGAACAGCTTTTAATGTTATTAGAAAGGATTTCAATGAATATTTTAAAAAATCAATTGAAAATATATGCATACAATTATTGACGTGATAGAAAGTTATCATTAACATAATATAAAAATAAATAAATAAGAGCATAAAATAAAAATTAAAGAAAATGTGACTCGTAAGTTGAAATTGATCGATAACTGTAGCCATAAAGTGCTTCAAAAAATACCGTATAATAAGCTTTAAATTACTCTTCGGTAGTGTGACGTTCTAAGGAAGTTATTTCTTATATTCTTGCGTAAAATTGCCGTGTATTTTTCTAACTTGATGCGTTCTCTTCTGTATATATCTATACATACTTGATACAAAGAGTAATTATAAAATAATTGTTATCGTTAATGAGAAAAGGGAAATTCTGAATAATATGAGTAATTATTTGTAAATATTAGTGTAAGTTAGTAAAAATAGCTAAATCAGGAATTGGAGAATTTCAAAGAATGATGACAATTATCAATGATTTAAAACTGAGCCCAAATCTTGAAAATTGTCAAGTATGAAATAGTGTGACTGTCATGACGAATATTTGATGCGTGTGAAATAATAGTGAAGGTTAATTTGATGTGCAAATAAATAGTAAATGCTACATTTTCTTATGAATTTATTGATTATGATTCTAATTATCAAACAAATGGTCTATACAGGGCATAGAATTAAGCTCATTTAATTTGCTAATAAATCGGGTGATTGTAGAATGAACCAACAGTTGTATCTCCAACAATGCAAACACGTGCGGACAAAATAAATTTTAACTCTTGTGGAGAAGATATTTTAAAAATGAAAAAAATTATCATTAAAGATATATTATTGAAAGAATGATCAAAAAATTATTTGATTGTTACTAAATTAATTAAAAACTGATCTTTCTCACTAAACTTAAAATTATTTTTTAAAACTTTCACTAAAATACCTCTATCATTGACAAATTTTTTCATTTAAAAAATATGACTTCTCTTAATGTCGAAAAAATGACAAAAAAGCGTAAAAAAGATAAATTGTTAATATGAATAAATGATAGTATCAATAAAGAAAAAGATTAGTAATTAAATAATAGCCTTATAAATAAAGTCATTAAGATCCTTATAAACCATCAATTATAGATGAAAAAATTACTGTGTCACTTAAAAAGACTGAGTGCCGATATTATAAGGGTTATTTTCACTACCCTAATAATAATTAATCATATTCGCAAATGCAGGAGTCGCAAGTAATTTCAAGATATCCCGCAGGAAAACAACCCTCTTTTGCCCTCAATTCACTTGGGGTGGAAACTTCTATCAAGATAATTAATGCAAATACACAGCTCAAGAGTGAAAATACTGCGAGGTTTCTTCAACTTTTTATCTTTATCTTTCTTCATCTTTTTAGGGGGTGTATACTGTAGACATTATGTGTTTCACTTTACTTACACCTTTTTAACTGTCTGTTCTTTTACTCTTTCAACTTTGTAATTACATGGCACAGTGGGTAAGTAGAGTATATCTACAAAGTAAAATGAACATCGGGCACTTAAATTTATTTACAGGGTGAGGCTTATAAAAGTGCATTAGATTTAACGATTGTTAGGTTGTAAACAAAGCTAGATAATAAACTACGTTTTATTTATCAATTTATTTGATTAATTCTCTAAAGAGACATTCCGTTGGACATTTATCTTTTCACTTTTTACTATCGATGTAAAAGTTTTTATTAATATACTAGAGAGAATGAAGACAACAGAATAATAAATTATTGTATATGAAATTAAATTATAATCATATTATAACCATTTGTAATACTGTTGATTTCATGAGATCAATAATTGAAATAATTGATTTAGTCTATGATTGTGTACAGTTCGTATGAATTTTGCATGTAGGTAATAGTCATTGTATTGAGAAATACGACGAAATATTGTTACAATACGAGAACGAAGCATGATCCTCGAGACAAGTGGCGACATCTATATCGTCAACATGAACTACGAAGGTACTCATCACTCCATCTGTGGGAGGCAACACTGTTACAGGACAAGCAGAGAACCACCAATACCAGCCGTCGGTACAGAGGACTTCTGGATGACCTTCAAAGGTCACGAACAGACATGACTATCAGCTTCAGTCAGAAAGGCGCTGCAAGAGCGGAGTGGGCGGAGCTTCTAAATGAAAGGGGGTCTCGCCAAAACGAGCCTCAAGCACGCCGACGAAAGCAGTAGTAGTAGTTGGGCTTCCGCCGTTGTAACGAACACACGGAACGATACGCTGCTCCTAGAGCATAATTAATTAATATCACGCAAAAGTACAAAGTCAGTCCGGAAGTCGGAAAACAAGGCCGGATTCATGGCATCTACGAGCATCTACATCGCTGTCCAGGTGCTAGGGAAGTCACTTTACGAGACTCTGCAACCTTCAGGGAGGCGCCGGGTAGCCAAAGGGTTCCCCAGGACTTCCGATAACGAGTAACACCAGGCCTGTAGTCCCGACCAGAGCGAAATTACAGCATCTCCAAGAGAAAAGGACACTCACCGGTGAGCTCACACCTAATTCAACCTCATTGTTCAAGGGCATTAGGGTGAGTCCGTGAGAAGACGCGGAAACACAGATTGTAACGCCTGTCCGATTCTTAATTATACAAATTAGTAATTGTAAAATAATTAATTTGGAGAAATAACAATTGTTAATTTTGCTGTCCCGTACCCGGGTCATCAACTCGTTCTGTCTCAAACATAACTTTCTGTAAATTAGTTGATACGGTACTATAAAGCTCGCTTCAGGACGCGGGGGATAACCCCACAAATTATTGTTTTGGAAATTATTCTTTTATAATAAAAAGTTGTTCTATCTCAATACTCGGGTGGAGAAATTATCCCGGTCAATCCCTTGCGTACCCTTATTTGCATGCTTTACAGGAGTGGAGACATTCCAGGGGAGGTGACACTGCTATCACAAGGGCATTTGTCCCGAATATTATCTTTGTATTAAGTTCTCGTCGTTGTTCGACACGTCGGTGCCCAGGAAGATCTCATCAAAGTCGTTAATCGAATCCTCTCGTATCACCCATTTTGTCGCAGCAGATTCACGTCGAGCGGCAAATATATAATTCCTAATAAGGTAAGTGTGAATTCGCAATATCTTCTTGAAGCCTCTTACAGACAGTTATTTTACTCAAGGTCACACTAGAATAAGCCAACCAATACACCATTACGAATACCTGGTAAACCAGATTCCCATCTTTTCAACCATTTTCTCCCGAGATAATTACATTGGACACCCCGTTTCCGTCCTAAAAAGTCTGAACATAGAGCCTATTCGAAGCATTCCTACAATCACCGAGTTTTCCCTTGGATTTCCTAACGGAAACATTCCCGCGTTTTTTTCATAGCCCGAGCTCAAACCTTCACACTCAAAGGTCCAACAGCTGATTTATCTCAATATGAATCTTTAATGATGGAAGTTGGAAATGGCCTAGGAATTATAGTCTGAAATAGGTGATAAAGTGAAGAGACATCTCCATAATGATTCTATATATCAATAAATCTTCATGAAAATAGGTGAAATATCTATCAATTCATCGATTGCTGAGATTAATTTAATATTTAATAGGCTTTAATAGAGGCTTAAAGATATGAGCATTAATAACATCTTTTGTTAATTAATTGTATGATTAAAATAAAAATTAGATCAATAATACAAGAAAAAAAAAACATTACCTTGAAGGAAACCGAGTACTTCTTATTTGCGAGTAAGGTTTTTGCAGTAAAAAAAGTTTCACATCAAAAGTTTTTCTGTAATAACTCCAATCCAACATAAATAAGTAGAAATATTTTCCATTAGATCTTAACAATAATTCTTTATCCTTTTGTAACCTCTTCATTGGATAGTTTTTCACTGTTCGCTTCAATATTTATTTGTAAACTATTGAAAAAAAAAACATTTTTTATTTTGTATACCGTTGTTTACACTACAACTTTTTCAAAATAACGGCTTTATAATGAGATGCACTCTATCGGATGCTTGGAAAAACCATTAGAAATCATACTATTGACTATCAGTCGGTAAAGTACTGATTGTAGAACACTTATCTTCCACTTTTTGAATTACAGTATACATGGTACAATACAGATGGCGATATAAGTTTATTCAAATATGCAAATTAAGCCTCAAAATTTGCTCATTGATACATTTATTGTGTGTTGATTGTAAATCTTTAATTTGCTTCATAAATATTATCGATCTTTTTGAGGTAATTTTTTTTTTACATATTATTAAAAAAGCTACGAAAATATCTAATAAAATGAATATTATACTACAAAAACAATGTATGTATCACTGAGTAAACAAAAAATACTACTTCGCATAAAGATTTAGAGATACTGCGTCACCCAGTGCGCTGACATTTTAATTAACCATAATAATTAATGAATAAAACGTATAGTCTGGATTTGGGTCTGACAGGATGTAATGAAAGTATGATCAAGAATAGAGTGAAGAAAATTGTATGGACACTTTCAACTCACGCTGAATCAAAACCTCCGATCGACATTTGTCGAAGACTGTGGAGAATTGTATTTCCAGGCAGTCTAATTTGACAGTAGCGCTTCATATAGTCAATTCGCGTACTAAGTACACCGTGCAACATCAGTTCCAGTTTTAGGATTCTCTGCAAAAAAATATTTTCGCAAAATGTAATTTATTATTATTACCACCATGGAATAGTTTTTTGAAGAAAAAAAACTTTAATCTACTCTTATATTTATAGTTTAAATAAATTGATGTATGATGTAATGTGAAGATTGCATGAGGATTTTATCATTAAATTGGTAGGAATTTGCTATTATTACATCGATATATATCGCAATAAATTTCGTATACACGATAAGATTTATTTCTTATGATTTTGGTAGTATTTCCAAAACCCCAACAAAGTTTTAGCTTATCAAGTTTTGAATGAAATAATATTTTAGAGTTATCGACTGAACAGTTGTAATATACATATACATATATTGACAAAGATACGTACGTCAGTGGTAGAGAAGAAGGGACAACACAGCTGGTTGGCACATGCGCGAATGATATCATCTGGTATCGAGCTACAAGCAAGCACCTGGCTGCTAGCTCACCCGTTTGTCGCGAGTGAGTCGAGGGACTAGTTTTTGCTTGGTGTTAACACTGAATGTAGTTGGTGTGTTGTCGTCGGCGTGCCTGGTGCAAAGTTCCGACGTTTAACTCGCGCGTGACACGCACGGATACGAAATGACATCGCGAGTGTTGCTGTGTGGCCGGTAATTTCATACAGTGGCCAGTAAGATAACAATAAATATATTTACTTAGAGAGCTTTCAATGTTATCATTATCATATCCACCAATTTTCATATTTATCAATGTTAGCTGTCTCTCTTATTCTGTTGATGTTTTCACTTCTTCACGATTATTGACACTTGATGTGTAATTTATCCTTCATTATGTTTACGGTAATCCTCAACTTGACATCAATATTATTATTTTCATTGCATGTTTTCTTGCTTCTCACGTACTCTCTTAATCTTCAATGCATTTATGACACAACGTAATATGTATGAAAAGCTATTGGCGTATGTGTCCTTTGCTCATGCGTGTCTATCCGTTTCGTCGGGCTCTGCACAAAGTGTCAGCCATTTAGGCGGGCGATTTATTAATTGGAGACTGAGGTACGATGACTATCATGCTCTTTATCAAGACTTAAAGACATCTTCTTTCCCTTCTTCCTTTAATAGCACTTTAGTAGTACCGCTTGAGATCCATTGGTTGAAGTGACTTTTAGGCTTCATCACCCAAGTACTTGCAAAAACTTTGTATTCATTTACTCATTAATTTATTCATAAAAGACAATTATCTTGAACAAACAGTCAAAGTCTCTTCATGTGCCTAAAACAACTTCGGAAAATAAACATCTTCAAAAACAGGTCATTTGAGTATTAACATATTTCTTTCATAACTTTAACGATGTAACGTGAAATGAACAAATGCATAAAATTTTAACAAGTTAGGGGAAAGTTGTTATTTATTTCTATGGATATTTCAATGATCACTTTCTAGTTATTATATTTTAATGTTATTTGATATCATAATCAATATTGTTTTTATTACAGAAGTATGAGATAAATTTAATTAACCGAAGTAATAAAGAGCTCTGATAGTTTATAATAAAAATAACTCAAGAAATATTTAGTATTTTGTTTTATATAAGGAAAATATTTATATATAAAACAACATGTAATGTATTACTTGAAACCTTTTCCCTCTAGAAAATTACTCTAATTTCCTTTAAATACGATGAGAGAATATACTTATATGTACAATGACATAATTACGATCAGATATTGACCGTTAAGTTTGTAATTAAGTTTGTTAGTATGCAATGTGTATTCAATGCAGCTACATGTCCCAAAGGATTTGCACTACTAATAGGAACACATCAGTCCTCGAAAACGTGTGTAAAAGATAAATAGTTGATCTAAGAGATGTAAAGAAAAGAAGTTGAAACTGATGGAATTTACAATTAAAGTAATATTGACACAATACTATTAATAAGTAAGTTTTAATTAATTCAAACTAGTTATGAGATTGCTTCCTGATTATCCAAGCAGTAACATTTAATGAGGTATCGACGAATACGATTAATAATTTCCGAGTTCTATTGTTGGTATTTATAGGTCAGACTTTTGAGAACTGTTTCCAGGGTCACAATGACAACGGACTTATCTTATGCTTTCTAATCGATGAACCATGATATTGAGAATCAATAGATTATCAAAAACAGATCACTGATTGCCAAAAATAATGTTCTTTAATATTAATTCGTTTTATTAATAGGTCAAATGATCTTTCTAAGCTAAATAACAGCCGGAAAAATCCCACTAACTATTGAATAAACACACATTTTCATGTTATCTATTTGGCTTAATATCCGTTGAATGAAAATTTATCTTTTACACAAATAAGAATTCTATTCTACATAAAAGATTAATGGGTGAGTTAAATACATAATTTTCCAATAAATTTTTCCAACATAATTTTAACTGTCTTGAGAAAAAATATGTGAGAATTTATGTTTCATTATTTAATGAACAGTTTTTTTTTAATTTTGATTTTCAAAAATAAAATACAATCACAAATTTATATTATAAATCTTGAATAATTATTGATTTTCACTATTCAATCATAATATTAATAAAATTGATGTCATTAATTTCAGATCTGTTCCGTACGTACATGAAATTATTCATGTCACATAATACTTCAAAATTAATCAATGCATTCGAATATCGGAAATATTTGCATTGAAATGGACGCAATACAAGACTGGTATTATTTTCTCAACATTCACCCTCGGATTTGCGTTACCATGGTGTATATACGAACAGTTTTAGCACGTTCTCAGAGTATATTTGAGTGTTGATACAAGATTCAGAGTACAGGATTGCAATCATTGAGCATACATTTTTTCAGTATTGATGGAAAATAACATTAATGCAGAATTTCAATTACTATTTAATAATCACAATGATAGATATTTAACATATTGCTGTTATCATTATATATCATACTCTACTTATCTATTCGGGATATCCGCAATGTGACAAAGTTATATGAAAATGAAGCAGAGACTTTAGTTATTTTTTGAAACTTTTAAATGTATTTCTACAGATAAATATTATTTTCAATAATAATGAATACAAGGATAATGAAAATGGAATAAAATAAAAGCAAAAAAAGTTTCAAAATGAAGTAGAATTAGTATGATAGATATACAGAGCTTCTATATTATGCGCGGAATTTATAAAACCTTAATTCTTCATAGTACGAGAGCAAAAAGCTACATAATTTATTAAATGTTCTGCTGACTATAAAATTTTATATACACGGTTTTATTTTGTTATTGTACTTTCTTTTTATTAAAAATGAACACTGAAATTAATTATAATACATTTAAAAACAGAAGACTTTTTTTATATGTTATTTACTCAATTAACTTCTTCAATGTTGTTGACTCTTTGTTTCTACGATTCATGTACATTTAAGTGATTTTTTTTTAGGAAATTAGGGTATTCTCTGGAATGTAAATAAGCTCTTTCAAGATATTCATAAAACAGAGCAAAGAACTTTCTTGAAATGTTAACATTTCTTTTAATTCTGACCTACCTACATGACCGAAAAATAAATTTAAACATTAGAAGGACAATAAACTTTCAGAGAAATAGTTTTATTATGTGAAAAAAGCCAAATAAAATTTCTAAATATATAATTCAGGAATTAAACAGTTTCTTAAAAAAATATTCTTCATAATTTTGTAATTTATTTATGTTTTATTTTTTAGGTGCAGAGACTAAGTAAGATGAGATTTTTGACCCGAAAGAGGAGCTCTTAACGGTGTAAGTATGATAAAATTTTTTATATTTTTCCATTTTTTTCACTGAAACTTTCGATTAACTTTCATTACTACTGTTTGACTTTACTTTTATGACGTAAATGTCTCACCCTCTTAGCAGGATTAATTCCTTGATGAAATGAACTCATAATAATAAACTGGAGTGTTAAGTAATTAAAAAAACGTTTTTTTTCTTCGAAATAATGAAAAGAACCTGAATGCATACTTATACATGTACTTATTTACACATTTAAAATAATTGTTCTAGCATGTAAAAGAAGCACTGACGTTCAAATTCAATTCCCTCACCACGAAGACTGATCTTTTATGTACTCAATGCCACGTGAATGATGCAGGCGCACCTTGACTTGAGACTTTTTCAGAAGATTTTAAAGAAGTGCAAAGAATAGTTGAAAAACCCAAGTCGCTTAAAATCTACTGAATGTCAGGGCAAAGCTATAGAACAAAACTCTCAGGCGGTATGAGTTGTTATAATAAATCATGAATTACAGATGACTGGTTTTTAAGGTTACTAGTTTTTATTTTTGTTATTCAACAAAGAAAAATATTCTTTATTTGAACTAGAAAAGGAAAGAATATTTATTTTGAAATAATATTTGCACTATTCTGTTATATTTAGATTCATTGAAAAAGTGTGATTCAAATTAGAAATTTGTGAACTACTTTTTCAAATATTGAATAACTTATTAAAATAATTGAAAGTATGTCAAGTTTGATGCTATTATATAAATATATTATGAATGAAAACCTGACGACAATAATAATAAATATGTTGGCTTCAAATGGTAGAAGTTTGATTACAAAAAAGTTAAATAATTAAAAATTGTAACCAACTTTTACTCATGTTGAATTTACCAACATGTTTGTGACAAGAATCTTGTTCTACAAATCGCGGTGATATCATCAACAGAATTTTAATTTTAAACTATAAAAAAAACTACAAGTTGTGATGCATGAGTACAGAAGCATTGCATGTAGATTGATATTGCATACAGTTATATTGTGGATAAACAAATATTACGTGAGGGAAGTTAAGTTGGAGCAGTTTCATCGTTCTTTGAGGTCGTCAAAATAAGAAGAAAAAAATAAGACACTTGGGAAATAAAAGAGAATACTAAAAACGTTTGTACAAGCTCGTTGAAATTTTTACAACTCAATAACGATCTCGCGAACCACTGAGCAGAAGAACAGCATGAGGAATTGATGAAGTAAAGTAAAACGATGGAAGCAAAGAAACGATGAGCAGCATTAGAACATTGGGGCTTAACGCTCAATTAGATGCCAAGCATGGTTACTTAAAGGGTGAAGTGATGATGTGATTATCAGTGGTATGATGATAGAATAAAGCAATGGAAAATTTTTTTGAAGATCAATGCAAGCTATACTTTTTTACAATTTTTTAATTATATTTTACAGACTATCGTTAAGTTTGATAAATCTTTTTTTTGTATCGATTAGATAGACTTTGAAACATTTAACTTTGATAGCATCAACTGCTTGTAAAAGGCTGATAGTTCAGTAATTTAAAAAGATTTTTTTATTTGAAAATAATATTCAAACCAATGGATTTATCATTACGTTCAATTACACTTGTAACATTGTCTATAATAATAATTGAGTATTAAAATATGTTTTCCAAAAATTTGAAGTCAATTTTAAATGAATACTTTTAAAATTTTACTGAAAAATAATCATATAAATCATGTTCTAATAATTTTTATCTATTTCATTAAATTTTTATTACTATTTCGAATCGATTTGTGATAAAATATATTTATGACAAGATGACAATAATTACAAAAATACAAGATTTAAAATTAAACTGTACAATAAACTTTTATTTCTAGTTTCTACTATATTCCATTTTTTACTCGTGACGTTCTTTTATATTTCATTGAAAATAAGTCGCTAGATTTTTTTTCTTGAATTTTTTTACTTAAGACATACTTGAAGTATGTTCAACTACTTAATAGTCTTTTTATTGTCATTTTACATCAATTTATATCTAAAGATTCCATTATTCTTAATACGAGAGAAAAACTTTTAAATAAATATTAATAATACTGAAGGTAGAAATCTTATTTTTCTAATAAAAAAATGTATTCCAGTTTATTATTAAGTGATCATTTGTTTACTTTGTCATGCGAAAATTGTGACAAGACTTCTAATTGAATTCCTTTTTATTTTTATTATTAGCTAATCATAATCTTTATTATACAGTTTATCATCTAATAAATTTTCTTGATATTACAGAGACAAAAAATTAAGTCGCTGGCTTCACAATTACACAGGCAGATCTCCAACCATGACAAAAAGGTTTGAGTTTAATTGGCAAATCGAGGTACCGGAGCCTCTGCGAGTAGGATGTGTTTTTGACCGGTGGACCGAAGAGAAGGACAACACAGAAATAGAGCTTAATTGTCTCTTCAAGGTCGACGAATATGGATTCTTCATTTATTGGCAGAGTGAGGGAAAGGTGAGAGGAAGCTTTTTCACTGAAAGCAAGGAAGTCATTTTCTCTCTTCATTTATTGCTTGATCGTTTTCCACCCTCAACTAGATACCCCCTATTCGAAATGATCCGTCACCTTCTCAAGATGCTTATACTAGTGGTAGAAAATCTATTATTCTCGCGCATGCTGAACATTCTTTTGTAATCGATCGTTCTTTTTTTTGTATTGTTCATAGGATGGCGACGTCATCGAGCTGTGTCAAGTGAGCGATACACGAGCAGGAGGTGTACCTAAGGTGAAATATTTAATTCTTCTTCTATGATAAGTTCTCGATCTTTTATTTATAACCCTCATAGGGGTTCTGGAAAATTTATTCTTCATTAATTCAATTATTTTCCTCAGTTCTATTTTTTTCTTTTTCTCACTAAATAGCGTCCACTTTATTTTGATCTTAATTTTTCTCAACGATTTATTGGAATTCATATTTATAGGCTTGTTTTTAAAGATATTTGCTCCGGAAATCAAATGACTAATAGCCTGTAAGGGCAAATAATAATTAAATTATAATAAAAAATTAAATAAAATATCGAGAATTAAGCTTTAGATTTTTCTATACTTTGTGAATAGGATCCAAAGCTGTATGACAAACTAATAGCTAAACATAAAGAACAACTGGATGAAAAAAGCCTAACCATATGCTCTGGAGTCGATTACACCAATATAAATTACCAACACGTCGTCTGTCCTGACGCGAACACCGCAAAGGTAATGTAAGCGATATCAGCAGACCACATTCATCAAACTGATAAATATACATATTTCTATTTTAAATTCGTTTGATTGCTTTTCGTTGACATGTTATTACCGTGTGGGTGCTTATAATTTACGATATACGAGTGAATCGCTAAATCAATAGGATCGATTTGGTATTGTGATCATTATTCAATCGCCTTACATAGTTATTCTATATGATTTATAATCATTTCAATTTTATACCAAACTCAAGGAAATTCCAAATTTTTGCTGAGTCACGCGATGCAATTGTTCGTAAAAGAAGAGAAAGAATTCAAAGAATTCTTCAAAATTATGTTTTCACACTGTAAAAAACGATAGAAAAATTTTTTTTATAATTTAGATCAAAAAAATTATACATGTGACACAAATTGAATTATGATAGCATTTAATAGCTCTTAATGGCCTTTTAGTCTATAGATAATCGCTTAATTATCGATAATTATTGATGCATCATCAGCTAAGAAATGCAAAAAGCTTTTTAATAAGAAAAACTATTTTTATTTAAAAATTTTACGTAAAATTAGTATTTTCTTGTTATTCAAGCATTTTTATTCAAATATATTATTCTTTATCACTTCGTAATAGTTGAAAGGTTCGTTATTTCGTCAACAAATTGTTGTTTTTTTTTCGAATAGCAATTAATTTTTTACATAAGTTATTCATACACACGATATAACACACTATTATTATATTTTATGATAACTAATATTTTCTTCAAGTATTTTTTACTTTTGACAGCTTAAATTTTATTCGTATTTATAAAATTATCATAAATGGAGTTAATTAATTTTTATTAAAAATTTCAACTGAAAAACAACATTATGTCTAATAATATATTATTATGATAGAAAAAAAATTATAATTTCTGAATAAGAGAATATTAAACTGTTTGTTTAGTGATTGTTTACGATTAAGTATCTGAATATCAATTATATTATTGGAGAAATATTTTTTCATTATTGGTTTTATTTAATTTAGTTATTACTGAATCTCTCAGCGATTATTATTTATAGATATGGCTTGCTGGAATTCGGAAAATCACCCACAATGTCAAAGCAAACAATGTTTGTCCGCTGACTTGCCTGAAGAAACAGTAAGTTAACCATGGAGAGACAATTACGCGGATAAATGAGATTAATTCGTTTTATTTCTCAAGTTGGATGAGGCTGAGGATGTTAGTAGATCCAAATGGGAAAGTACCAGTAAAAGTAGTCGCCCGCACGTTTGCCTCTGGAAAAACGGAAAAATTGGTGTACCAGTATTTGTCTGACCTCGGTTTGCCAAGTGGAAAGGTAAAATGCAAATATTGATACTACAAAATATATGTATTCATATTATAATTTTTATTATTCTCTGTTTATTATAATAGAGATAAAATAATTTGCATTTTTATTTTTAGAATGACGTTATAGAACCAGATGATTTTACTTTTGATACATTCTATGCTCTATATCACAAAATTTGTCCTAGAAATGATATCGAAGAACTATTTAAATCTATGTAAGTACAGTTCAGTTTAAATTGATCAGTAATTGATGGAGAAACAAAAATATTGATTAAAATATTCAGAGTCGATCCAATTTAATCTATTAAAGAAATAAACATGGATTGATATCTTTTATCAATTAAAGTTTTCTATTTGTTTATTTTCAATTAATTCACGAATACATAAAATTTTCAACAAACACTCATGTAAATTTTGTAATTTTTATGAAAAAATATTTTTAGAACTCAAGGAAAAGCCGATACAATTGATCTGGAACAATTAATTACATTTCTAAATGAGAAACAACGTGATCCAACTTTGAATGAAATCCTATATCCGCTTTATGACGAGAAGAGAGCTATGGAAATTATTAATGACTATGAACAAAATGAAACATTTCGAAATCAAAGTAAGTTCTTCATTTTTCATTCTTCACATTTTTTTTTGTTCACCCTCATGTTCTTTATATCTTCCATTTCTACGTCTAATCAAAGCTTTTATTGGAGCTCTCACTCAAATCGAAGATTAATAATTCACTTTTTATTGCTACGCTGTTTAGAGACATTATCAAAGGATGGTTTTATAAGATATTTAATGTCCGACGAGAATGCCCCAGTTTTTCTAGACAGATTAGACGTTTATATGGATATGGATCAGCCATTAGCACACTACTACATAAACTCAAGTCACAATACTTACCTATCTGGGCGACAGTTTGGAGGAAAGAGCAGTGTTGAGATGTACAGACAAGTGTTACTTGCTGGTTGCAGGTATTGTTAATATAAACATTAAATGAATAATATTTATAATCTTTCAATATTATAAATTAATTTTTTAGTATGATAATATTATTTTTATAATAATCTAAAAAATAAATAATTCAGTAGATAAACTACTATTCAAACAAATGAAATTATAATTTATTCAATGTTTTAAAGAATATATAAATATATAATAATAACTAAATATCTGTTTAGAATAAATTAAAAATATTTGGGTTCTATTATTAAAATCATCTTTCTTTCTTTATTTTATTATAGATGTGTTGAATTAGACTGTTGGGATGGTAAAGGTGAAGATGAAGAGCCTATAATAACCCATGGTAAAGCCATGTGTACAGCAGTCCTCTTCAAGGACGTCATTTACGCAGTCAGAGACACCGCATTCGTTACATCAGAATATCCAGTCATTTTAAGTTTCGAAAATCATTGTAGTAAAGCACAACAATACAAATTGGCTAAATATTGCGACGAAATTCTTGGAGATTTGTTACTAAAAGAACCTCTCAAAGACTACCCGGTGAGATTGATGTATACTTATTGCATTCTACATATTTTATCTAATTTCACTCAAGGGCATATTCAATCTGTTGCTAATTTCATTTTATAACTTTGATACTTTGATCGTTGCAATTGGATTTAATTTCAATTTAATATGATTTAATTTTTTTAATCTGTTGGATAGTCAAAGTAATCAAAGTTGACATATCTCTTATTTTTTTTAATGAATTTATGTCTTAAAAATGGAATCAGTTGGAGCCGGGTGTTCCTCTTCCCTCTCCAAATCTACTCAAACGAAAGATTCTCATCAAGAACAAACGATTAAAACCGGAAGTGGAAAAGCAAGAATTGGAACTCTTCAAACAAGGTCAATTTGTTATTGAAGATGAGGTCAAGGAAGATGCTAGCGCACCACCCGTTGTACCTCCAACAGTTGTCGAACAACAATCGGTAATTAAAAAAGTTTTCAAAAACATTCTAAGATAGAGGAAACAATAAATCAAGTATTATCAAATTCTTTTCTCACACGCAATATTTCATTAGGTTGATTCAGCAGTAGATGTTGTTGTTCAACCAAATTCTCAAAATCCTGGCGTTGGTCCAACTGGCTTAGGTGATAGTTTGGAATTGGTCGCTGCACAACCCTACACTGGTAGCACAACTAATGTACATCCCTGGCTATCTTCCATGGTGAATTATGCACAACCCATCAAATTCCAAGGATTTGACGTCGCTGAACGTAAGTTTATAACTCAGTTATTACAGTTTCCCGTTACTAAGGCTTTATGTTTAGTTACGAGAATACTTTGATTCAAGTTTATCATACCTCTTCTGTACTTACATACAATATTTATCGATTTTTCTTCAACTTTATATTGAAATAAGATTTAAATGAAGATACTTGAAGGACTTAACATTAATTCCTTGTTGAAATTGGCCATTATGCCAGATATTATTTATATGAGACATTCATTACTCATTTTCTATTTTAAACGTAAATTATTTACTCAGTCATTTATTTGAAATTCTTATCATCTAATTTTACAATGAGAAAACTTGTTTTTTGAAATCAAGACTTACGGAGAACGGTAAAATTTTCTGTGACAAAAATTCATTTTTTTGTTTTTTCAACTTTACACTGAAGCTTTTGAAATAATGTTTAACTTATTCTTCACTAATGAGCGATAAAGAAACATTATTAATTCTAAGAGGTTTTATTTCCCTGCGGACTTATTGTAATAAATCGGCCTTGCGATAAGGGAAAATTAATTAATACTTTAATAATCTGATGATTATTATTTATTACTATAAAAATTTGATTTTTATCATTAAAAAGTATTAAATATCTCATGATATCAGAATTTTTAATCTAATATATACTATTGTCCTTAAAATTGTTTTTAAAAAATGAATTTTTTGCTTACTGAGATGTAATTACAGTTTGTGGTATCACGACCTAGTTGGAAGTTAAAAAAATTTTTATCGTCAATTATTAATTTCATTTACTCCTAGAAACTCCTATAGAACTGAATAATTAGTAAAAATAGAAATTTCTCTAATTTAAAAGCTAATTAATTTTTTTTTCTTGTGAACATATCAAAAAAACTTCGAAAGCATATATTTCTTGTAAAAATAATAATTTGAAATTATTTTTTCAGAAAAAAATATACATTACAATATGTCTTCCTTTGCCGAGAATACAGGCCTTAATCATTTGAAGACTTCTGCCATAGAATTCGTCAATTATAACAAACGCCAAATGAGTAGAATTTATCCAAAAGGTACTCGTGCAGACTCTTCTAACTACATGCCTCAGGTAAGAATCATTGATATCAAGTTTTTTAATATGATATGGTGGAATTCAATAATCAATATCGATTTATAGAGAGTAAAAAATTGACAAAAATTGGAAGCAATCCAAAGTTTTAAGTCTTGAATCATCATATTCATTTTATTCGATTGATCGTATAGGTCTTCTGGAACGCTGGTTGTCAAATGGTCTCTTTAAATTTTCAAACGGCTGATGTACCCATGCAGCTGAACCAAGGGAAATTCGAATATAACGGATCATCAGGTTACTTATTGAAGCCAGACTTTATGAGACGAGCTGATCGAAGTTTCGATCCATTTGCTGAGAGTCCAGTTGATGGAGTTATTGCAACTCAATGCAGTGTACAGGTAATAACAATCAAAGACAACTATTTTTGTCTTTTTTTTTAAATTGGACGTTACCTACACTTTTGTTGCTTCTAACTCAGCATACAGAAGTAAGTTACTGAGGATTTAGCTTTCAATTTACGATTCTCAACTACAGAGCTGTTATTTAAAGCCACTCTTTAATACAACAACTTTGATGATTATCTTTAGGTGATTGCCGGCCAATTTTTATCAGATAGAAAAGTAGGAACATATGTGGAAGTGGAGATGTATGGCCTACCTACTGACACAATACGTAAAGAATTCCGCACACGAGTTGTTCCAGCAAACGGTCTAAACCCGGTCTACAATGAAGAGCCTTTTCTCTTCAGGAAAGTGGTTCTTCCCGACTTAGCGGCCCTACGTTTTGCAGTTTATGAAGATTCTAATAACCGATTACTAGGCCAAAGAATTGTACCTTTAGACGGTCTCCAATCAGGATACCGTCACATTTCTTTACGCACAGAAGCCAATTTCCCTATGTCACTCCCAATGCTTTTTTGCAATATAGAAATAAAAATTTACGTCCCGGATGGCTTTCAAGGTGATATTTTATTTATATTTACACTAAAAACGAATTTAATATATTATATATGTATTACTATTTTAAATCATTATATTAATGTTACAGAGTTTATGGATGCTTTAACTGCTCCTCGAGCTCCTAGAAAGACAGAAATCCCGTCGCAGCCGAGTATACGAGGCTTAGGAATGAGTGAAGGTGATAAATCATGTGGCGATTCATCACAATTACGACAACATGAGGCTGTTAAGCCACGAGGTTAGTTTATCTTCAATCAAGTTGAGAAAAATTACCCTTTTATTTCAACTATATATAGGGTAAATGTTCCAATTAACGGTCTGATCAAACGCTGATTTATTTTAGCCATTATTTAAACTGTTAAAATTTTACTTAGAGATAATTATATACTTACTATTGATCTGTTATTGAATCCTGTTGTCAATAATTAACGTAGAGCTGCTAATTTGTTTATTTACTCGAATTAAACATTTACCTTGGTTAAATAAAGATGAACTTTTTTTTAAATTAAATCTGTATTGATTTTAGAAACAATGGATTTTGAGCCGATAACAGTGGAAAACCTTCGTCAGGAGAAGGGCTATCAAAAACTAATACGTAAACAGCAAAAAGATTTAGAGTCATTAAAAAAGAAACATCAAAAAGAAAGAAATGCCGTCCAGAAACAACAATGTGCTGCAATTGAAAAACTCATAAAAGGCAAAAAGTAAGTAAAGACAGAGGTATAAACTCGTAAGCTTGATTTAATATATATATATATCTCGAACCATAGTTGACTCATGATTAATTGCAATAAGTGAAAGCAAACAAGGCTATACAGGTGCAGTGTTAGTTGATATTCCGTGAACGTTTTCACTTCTCTTAGTTATTTCTAATAACGCTTAATCATATTCCATTTATAGGAAACCGTTAAGTCGTAATCGTCTTCAGATCGATTAATTACATCGGATTGCCGGTAGTTTCTAGGGGGTGAAACCCTTGGCAATTTTCATTTTTGGTTTCGCGAAACTAAACGGGTTACTTAATTAAGTTAATTTTTATAAATCAGCAAAGCGGAATTATCGAGGGATCCGATCGTTCATAGAGCGGTCTCGGAGCAGACGACGCAGTGGTCACATCTAACTGAGGGACAGCGACGTGAGGAGAGAGAATTGGTACGCAGTCATCTGGAAGAAAGACGTGTTCAATTGCGTAAGCTCTGCCTCGCTGCACAATCGGTCCAGACAAAGCAACTGACGGCACGACACGAGCGTGAGATCAAGGAGATGAATGCCAGACAAGCTAGATTGTCCGTTGAAAGCATGAAGGAGGTCATGAATGATAAGACGTTAAAGAGCCGTGGCATTAAGGAGGGGAGACTTCGGGAAAAACAGCAGAACAACACCAAGAGGTTTATGGAAGAACGTAAGTTTGCACAGATGGTACAGAATCGAGAGATGGAAAAATTAAAGATGATCCATAATGAACAGTTGGAGGAACTACAAAAAGAAATGAATAGGGTGAGTTTTTTTGTGTATAACAAATTTTTCCAACTATAAGAATTTTCCCCTCTCATGATTGATTATCTACTGCTAAAAAAAAAATTTCTTAGAACTATGATTAATTCATTTTAGGGGACAACAATTTTTTTCATGGATAAAATTTATTTAATGTTTCAGATAATGGAGATGCATAAGAATCAAGAGATCGAATATGAGTTGGGTCCAAAAAATGAGTTCTACGTGTGATTGAATGCTGAAGATTAGATACTCATCTTATAAATTAGATTAAATAAAGAAAGGATTCTCTTGAGATAATTTATTACTATCGTTAATTATTGGAATTGGGAACAAGTTTCAATCTTTGAATTAGAGTGTCGTTCCTCGGTCTGTCCTGTGTCAAACGCACGACGTGGGGGTGATATAAGAAAAAAAAATCAATCAAAAAAAAAACATTAAAAGGAATAATGAAAATGCAACAAAAAAATTGAAATCATTACAAAGTTTCTTTAGCAAGAGCTTCCGGTCTATTTCTCCGTTTTCATATCTGCTTTTATCATCTATAAATGGTCATTCTATTGCAAGAAAACTTTTTTCTGATCCACATCATTTATTATAAAGTAATGATAACAATTTATTTATTAACTTAATGTATTTTTAAATGTTTTTTAAATAACTTTATTGAAAGTAAAAATTGAATGTTTGTTTAGATTTAGAAAAAAACGCCAACTATTTAATAATTTGTAATTGTATTTTTTTGTTCATGACGATATTATTAATAATATCGGATGCTCTTTTTAGATAAACTATAAATATTACTATAAATGAATAGTTGTAAGTAATACTTATATTTAGCTTATCTTTTCTGAATATTTTTTTATAAGAGTATTATTATTCCACGTTGTTGCGCGAACAAGAAGTAGATCGAGCAGTCAATAATTAAGGTGATCTAGTCAAAAATCTTTAGAGTAATAATTCAAACAAGGGAACACGTAGACGGTCGCCTCGTGTTTCACCGTCACTTGAATTTGTAGGTACGAATAATGTTATAGCAAAAAAAAAACGAATTCTATTAAAAATTAATTTTAATTATAAAAGAGTATGTCTTTATTGTACGATGTAAATTTAGTAAAAAAAAAAACATTGTACATAAAAATGCAAAAGTTTAGAAATTTATGATTCTACATTGTTGTTTTTCGCTATCACAATGTTATTTACATAATTTATGAATAATTTTAATCTGTATATGATATTAAAAATCAGAAAAGAAAATAATAAAAACAAAGAGAGTAGGTTTCTCTAATAGATAAATTTTTGTGTTTTTTTAGTTGAAATATCACATTCCTCAGTGATTAGTAATTTCATTGTTCATTGCATTTATTGAATTTTCCATTTTGTTGAGAAATGAAAATTTTTTTTAGTAGTAGATTAAAATAAATTGTATTGGCTACTTTATTTTAACAATAAGGTCGATACGATACTTGTTGATTGATTAATAGTTGATAGAATAATTATTTTACTGGTTAATTCATATTCATCAATCATGGTCATAATGCTCCGAATCATAATGTAAAATATCATCAGTATCCTCGTAGGGAACTAAAACAATTATTTAAAATTGGAGTGATATTTTTGAATCATGTTATTATTCACTTACCATCATTAGAGACAAAAGAATGTTCCAAAGCAATATGTGAATCCGGTAAATGATCTAATAGTAGTTCTGGATCTTCATTATGATGCTCTTCATGATATTAAAAATCATTTAATTAGTGGCATATATTATTCAAAAACCTAATTCTCAGTTTAAAAAAAAATTATTTGTATCTTACGCATGACATCATGAGAATAGCCATCATCTACTTGGAGATCTTTGGGAATTGGTACAGAAAGATGATTTTGTATTTGAACATTCTGATAACTCGTAGCACCATGCCCATGATAAACAGTGTTTAAGTTAGGAAAATGAGAATAATAATGATCGGGTATAAATCCAGCATCACATATCGACACAGCAATAATAGAAAACTGAAAAAATAATAGAAAAATATAATTTTTTGAAATTGTACTAGTTATAAATAACATTAAAAATAAGATCACACTCACTATAAGAATCTTCGCCATTCTAGGGAAGTGTTCTTTACCTTTTCACTTTCAATACTGTGCTAAAATTGACCTATTGTTCTTCATTTTATACATAGTCTTCAGAATATTTCGAAATGCTATGAGAATCCAGTATTCCATAGCCGGATGTTCGTATTACATGGTGTATATCATGTAGGAAAATTTGAAAATTATTTATTATAATGTATTCATATAGTATATATTACGACAATGTTCTTAACAAATAATAAAACCATAATATTGTTATTGATGAAAATGAAAAATTTTTCGAAAACATTATAAAAAACCCTTATCTGTGATGCATAAACATATAAAAGAAAACATTTATATTTTCATTGATATTCAAGTTTTTATATATGTTATTTATGAATTCTAGTTATTTAAATGGATTGGAACACATTATTTTTATTTCAGTTTAAAGTACCTCTTCTGGAATATGGAATAAAAATATCCATTATCGATTATGGGTATTTTCTATTTTTCTAGAATGAATTGTAAAATACTTTTCTCTGATGCAAACAGCAGAAGTAAGGAAGTGAATAATAAGATGATACGAACAAACAATGAATCTTTCGCATAGTACTAGTAAACACTTATGAAATACGTAAGAAGTCATCAAGTCCAAAGCCTTGAGAAAACTTCACCCATTGTATTTTCAACTGTCCATTGTTGTTATCTGAAGTTACTAAATAGTTTTATCAACTTATCTGGAGCAATAAATTATGTTCTTTTACAATTATTAAACACTTTTCTAAGAATTTAAGATGTTTTCCTATTATTTAATCGTCAGCTACTAGTTTTATTTAAAAAAAAATTAAGTATTACCAGTAAAACATGTTTTTGACATCTAAATTATGATAAAAATCTTTGGATTATAATGATTTATAAAGGCAAAAAAAATTATCGAATGTAATACTTGAGATTAAAAGAAGTTTAAAAATATTCTTAGAAAATTTACAGCATCAGGTTTTTACATGTTTCTTGGACGATGAAGTAGTTTATTACAATAGTTAATATGTGTATGGAAATATTTATTCAACGTATTTATAAATTTTTTGCAAATCATTTATTAATTAATTGTATATAGTCTAATGCATATCTATTTTTATTTAAATGCATATATACAGCAATTTATACAATAACGTCAATAACAAATGATGTCAATAACCTACTAGAAAAACTAGTTCAAATTTACAGCTGATCCGAAAGAAATTGTGACGGTTACATCTGAATTACTTCCGTTTTATATTCCAAATATGTTTTGAGAGAGGAGGTTCACGATAAAGAGCCTCCTAGCGCCACTACGATTTATTACATAGAACACTCCAGAAAATTAAAGCATTTGCGTCGCAAAAAAGTAACGAGAAAATAAAAGTGCAAAAAAATAATCACAAAGCATCGATTCAATTATCCTCATTTAGTTTATGATGATAAAGACATGTTCACACATATTTGCACGCAAAGCAGAAAAGAACTGTGGGAAAAACAGTCACTCTAAATTAAACTATCAAGATAGATATTATCCGCCATAAAATCGAAGACTCATTAATCTTCTCAAGGATTTCGCTGGTTTAGAGCGAAAAGAAAAAATTATTACGTTTTTTAAACTACTTTGACAGTCGACCACTTTAGTCTAACCTTAAGAGGCAAGTAATAAATATTCATAAGAAATAATTGAACAATTATGATAATTAAATTGATTTTATTACAAATATTTCTTTACAAAAATACTTTCATCAAATTAATGAGTAATTTGAGATTCAATTAAATTATTTACTGCAAGGATATTCATGTCCAGAGTGTTTGATAATTGGCAGTTGCGGATGTGATTGAGCTGGAAGGTAATAAGACGCAGGTTTTATGGGTGCTGGGTGATGAACAACGGGCTTTACGTAAGAGGGTGGAGCATGAACGATCTGAGGTAGTGGTTTATGCACAAGAGGTTTCAGTGGAGTTTGATGACATGGTTCACAGTAATGTGACTCAGATTTATAGACAATACCAGGTTTAGCTATAAAATTAGTTGCTTGGACTGGATGATAATTTATTGAACTTTCCAAGCCCTTCACATATGAGACTTGTTGAATCATTGGTTTGTGATAAGTTGGAGCGTAAGCGAAATGTGGCTTCTCGTAATTCACTAAATGTGGTTGATACTGCCACTGAGCCTGCTGTTTTACGAGGTGCTGAATCGGTATGTCGTGATGAACCATTGGCTTTGGTGGAAGGTAATGATAAAGCGGCATTGAAACTTGAGGTTTTGCATGTACGTAAGAAACTGTTTGTTTTGGTACGTAGGACATATACGTTGGCTGATGGATGTACTGGACCGCATGACTTGCTACTGGTGGTCCATAAATTGGCTTCGGATATGGTGGCGGGCCATATGACTTTATTGCATGCATCGGAATTCTAGACGTATGGAAATGAGGATAAAACGGCGGACAAGGTGATGAAGAATCGTGTGATACACCATGATGTAAGTATCTTTTTGCCTTTGTCGTGGAATCTGATGCAACTACTGCTTTATCAGATTCTTCTACACATTCGACGCATATATTATGGCATGTGAGCCATAACATGTAAAATACCTGAGGAAATAAATTAGGAAAGGACGATTAAAGTTGCAGACAATAACAAAGTTGGGAAATCTACTTAAACTTGTCATAAATAATACTGAGTGGGATAATTAATTAGAATAAAATACGATTCATAAAAGTCTAAAGTTTTTTTAATTTATAACACTGTAGTACGTAAAGAAATCAATATTCATTAAAATAATACAAATTTGTTGTTGATTTTAATTTACAAAGTTTTTATTTGAACTAACTTTATTTCGAGTCGATTTTACTTTATTATTTACCATTAAATTTTTCTTTTAAATTAATTTTTATCTAAGTTTAGAAAAAATTGAAGAAAGCTTAATAAAAGCTCGCAGCTCTGATTATCCATTTATTTTAAGACAAATTCTTGAAAAAAGTAGTATTATATTAAGGTAATAATTAAAAGTGTTCCATTTGTGTTTCGATAAATAATATGAAGTCAAGGATTTGCTTGTAAATTTAAATACTACAATTTATAGCTAGATTAATTACTTACCAGTTTCTTCATGGTTTATAGTTTTACTTTATTTTTAGGATAAGTCAAAAGTGAAAAATTCCCAACCGCACCACGAGTAGAGTAAAACTAGGCCCGCTCAGTGCATTCTATCTTGCTTTATAAACTTATCCCGCATACAGAGGGAGCGGTCAATACAAATTAAAGCAATCGCAGCAGTAAGTCAGGTACGATGAAATCCCCTTAAGTGGTATAAAAAGCAGTCGAGAACACTGTGTTGTAATTTCCATTGCTCCGGTATTTCCTGAATAAATTTTGCTTTGCCGTAAGTGTTAGCCCTCAGGCAAAAAAGATTACGTCGTTGCCATATGAAAAAAATAATGTCATACGTGCTAGGACAACTAAAACAAGTCACCAGAGGACTACAAGAGTCAGAATTAATGTTAAATGAAAATAATTAACTCAGATTTCCCTTGCGTAAAACAGTACATGCTAGCTTACTCTTAATAAAAATTAAGTTACATACGAATGAGACAATTTCTCTTACAAGTTTCTATGAAAGCTTATCATTATCAAAAATAGTTAATTTATAAACTTTTCAATGGTTTTTTTCTCTTTTTGAAATAAACAATCCTGACTTTCTTTTCAAAAACTGTTCAATTAATGGCTATGTTGTACATAAAAAAAATAATCGATTTTATAATAAAATATATTATGTTTATTGAGAAGTATAAAATACTAAAAACATACAAAATATACTATGTACAAGTTATAAAAACTTAATATTACTCATAATACAATAATTAAAAGTTAACCAATAAGAAAGTTTTTGGTACAATGACTTCTCCAAATATAAGAATAAAATAACATCAAAGCCTGTACTAAGGTTCATGCCCATGAGATTTACTCTGGTGATGAAACACATGTTTATAAACTGGTACATGGACTGGATAAGGTTTTGGTATTGGAACAGGAAAATGTTTTTCAACAGTTACCGCATAAGGTTTCTCCACAATGTAGGGAACCTGTTGGAAACAAATTATATAAAAATAAATGATGTAAAAAAATATATGCTAACATTAATATTAATTCAAATGATAATTACTTACAATAAATTTATATGAAAAAATATTTAACTACCTTTTTTTCTATTACGACAGGTTCTGGCTTTTCTACTGGAATTTCTACGTGTTTCACTACTTCCACCGGCACAGGGTGAGGAATTGGCACATGTACTTGATAAGGCTGTGGTATTGGGACTTTAATATGTTGAGGAACAGACACTGGAATTGGATGTGGAATTGATATTGCATATTTTTTGTAAATTGGAACTTGAAAAACTTTTGGATGCTGATGAAATGTTGATTGTTCGGCTTTAAGATCTGATGAAGCTGATACTGTTATCACCATTAAAGCAGTTATCTGTAAGTACTGAAAATTTTAATTACAACTTATTATATTCCAATTCATGAATCAAATTCGAAACAAATATTTAAAAATTTTTTTCAAAATTGAACTTACAATAAGTTTCATGATTTTGTCGATTATGAACAATTTTAATAATTAAGTAATAATTGCGATGTCTACGTTAGTCGGACTTTAGTGCAACTGTTTCATGTATCAAAGTCATGGTCAAGTATTTATATCCTCACGCTACTTTCTCCCTTCTCTTTATTTCTAACAATTCTGCCATTCTCTTGTTCCAATAGTTGAACTCGACATCTGACAAAGTGTCTTGGAGTAATTATTTATCATGAAATTAAATTTACTGAAAGTCGCACTTACGTTTCAGTGAGATAAATATTTAAATTTATCTAAAAATTTTTATATTTTTTTCGTATTTTCAAAGTACATTTTTGCAAAAGTTTAAAGTGTCGAGTGAATGTTACTTTTATAAAACATAAGACTAATGAGCCGAGAAAAAACAAACGAATCCTGTAAAATTTCTAGAGATCTCTGAGAAACCTATGACCTAATTTTCGCTACCTAACAATCCGTGCCCAGATGTTGCAGAAATTCGAGCAGTAGGCATTTGATAAACTGTTTAGATATTAAAATTCATTGATTGAATATTTATACTGTCAATCAAACAAAATATTATCTAAATGTTAGTGAAAAGTGTTTGCAGTTTGAAAATGAAAACAGTCATCATTTATAATGATGAATTTAGATTAAAATAAAAAGTCTATATTGCTTATGATTGCACAATAATATTTAATAATAGTTGTAGAAACTAAAAGTCTAAAATTGAAAATAATTACTTATTTAATATATTTTTTTCATTAAATTAAACACATTTAGAAATTTTTTATTACAACAATAAATCATTAATAACACTTACTATTTTCTTTTGCTCAAAAATAATGAGAATTAGATTAACGAAAGTTTTGATCTTTTAATATTTAATTACTTTTATTGCAAAAACTATTTTTTTTATTACGAAGTTGAATTTTATACTAATTTAACATATCATGCCATAATCTTGATAAGAACAATTCAGTAAAGATCTCAAGTAATTAATGATTTATGTCATTTAATCATCAATTGATTGCAAAGAAAGTAGGATAGATTCTGAAACTTTCTATCCAGAACTGAAGTTTTGATTAGCATTAAATTAATATCAGTGCGAATGGCTAAAAAAACTCAATGAACTGCATTGCAATCTTGATAAATGTTAAAGTAAGAGTTGTGATTGTAATAGAAAATAGAAAAAAATGGTTAATGTGAAGATTGAAGTTGAAGGCTGCAGAGGCGAATGCCCTCTAAAACCTTGAATAACCATTACTTAACTGCATCTTTATGCTCCTTGAACCAGGTTAGAATTGCAGTTAGCATATTCTAATCAAGATTGTAGTCCGGTAAGAACGTGAAAGTGCTTATAAATAAAATTAGTTATATGAAAATAAAATAAAAAATAAAAACTATCATTAATCAAATTATACAAATTTTTATATCAAACTTTTATTAAATAATATCAGTTCAATCACAATATAACATATTAATCTATCGATTAATGACAATAACAATAACAAAACAATATGAGAATTAACAATTATTAAAATTTATAAATTATTATTATTGCTATTACTTTGTTTTTTCATCACTATGCATATTAATGTTTGTGATGAAACACGTGTTTGTAGATGGGAACATATACTGGGTATGGCTTGTTAACAGGGATGGGAAACTTTTTATCGACATAGATAGGATATGGCTTTTCCACAATGAAAGGCACCTGAAATTAATCAATAACAAATTTTAATTATTGACACTCTTTTTCTTAAAGCAAATAATAAATTTCAATTATGAAAATAACTTTACCTTCTTTTCGACAAGATAAGGCTCAGGTTTTTCCACGGGAACTTCGACGTGTTTGACTACTTCGACAGGATAGGGGTGAGGAATTTGTATTGGTACTTGATATGGCTGTGGAATTGGAATTTTTATTTCTTGGGGAACCTTGATTGGTACTGGATGTGGTATTGGTATTTCTGCAATGTTGCAAATAATAAAATTATTAGAATTTTTTCTTTTGTATTCTGTCGTTCTATTTTTCATTTTGAATGGAGGGATATTAATTATATCATCAATGTTGTTTTGATTTTTGTAACGACAAGAAGCTTTCTATTATAATGATTTGTTAGTACGGCATATCTTAAGTAGCATAATTTTTTATAGTACCATTGAAAATGTATATTGTACAGAGTTTTTCATATAAATCAGCATTGTAATTATTGCAATTAAATTCATTAACTCACCATATTTTTTGTATACTGGTACCTCCACTTGTTTGATTTTTTCTTCATATGTTGTATGAGTTTCTTCATAATCACTAGCTGTCGTTTGTGAAATCGCCACAAAAAGTAAAATCCAAATCTGTAAATCATGAAAATATATATTAGAATAAAAGCTCGTTTGGGGAAAACGTGTTTATGAAAAAACAAAAATTAGAAAATCCGGAAAGGTAGAAAGATAAAGTATTGTTATCTTACAGCAAAGTTCATGGTAAAGGACTTGATGAAGTGCAAAAGATAAGTGACTATTGCGATTTGAAATTCTAGCTTATATACTTCCAATCATTCCGTCACCTTTCACTGACAACTTACACTATACTTTCGCCCCCTTAAACAACGGTCTTTACAAAATGCCGGCAGTATAATCTTCTCCAAGTTCTATCAGAATTGTATGGAATAATAATTCGTGGGAGAATCAAGCAGTATGCGAACAATTTCCCATCGTTTTTTACCACAACTCAGTTGTAATTACTAAATTACTCTTAATGTTCCGGAAGTTACGACTCAAGTGCATTTGACCACTAATGAGATATCAAGATCAGACAATATTTTCAATAAGATCGTAACATGATGATTCTTCGACCAATTTTACTAATCAATTAACAATAAATACTATTTTATATAATTTCATATAGTACACTAAGAATATGAAAAAATAATTATTACCTAAGAAAAAGATTTATTTAATGAAATGAGTTGATCTTGCTAATAATATCTTTTTTCGTGTAAATAAATAAGCCATTATTAGCTTATTAATATTAAGATTATACTAATTTTCTATTTTATAATTCATTGAAATCTACATTTTATTAAATATTCGACTATAATTATATATATATATATAAAGTACATCAAAGAAACATATAATAAAGAGTTCATTATAAGTATTTTTCACAATGTCATACATAGCAGATTTATAATTTCTTATGCATGAAAACTTCATTGAATGTTGTTCAAAAAAATGGCTAAACTCAAACTTATGGCAATATTAATATTCTTTTTCCGCAAAGAATGATTAGAAAGGTAGATCTCTGATACCGTCGAAGTACAATACCCTGATCCTTTCATTCTTCCGCCACTTCCGAAAGGAAATTGGAGAGCAGTCAATGTGATTGCGGTCTTAACTTTCGCCCAAGATCTATTTCTTCTTCTCTTTCCGCCTTTTCTCAGTGACTTAAACAATATCTTTCAATTGCCATAATCTTGAAGCAAAGTTATGAAGAATATAGTTTCATAAGGAGAATATGAGTTAGATAAATTTTTAATGATTTATTGGACTGTTCGACTTTATAACTGATTTTTCATATTAGTTTTTTGTCTTATGTCATATTTTTATTAGCAAGATCTTGGATAGAAATTGTTGAAAATAATTAGAATGTCTAGATGCAAGAAAAGTAAAATCGGGCGTACACTTTGCAAATCATTATTTTTACTTATGCATCTCATTCCCCTTCAGACTTTTCAATCATATATTTATTTACTTTTTATAATTTTTTTTTGATTGCTTAATTATTTTTTGACTCTCAGATACTCAGTCAATTCATTGCTACATAAATCATTTCTTCAATTCATGAAGTCATGAATCAAAATATTTTCAAAAGAATTTAATAACTTTGTAAGCAATTTGTATATACTTTAAAAATCATTAATTCTTTTTATTATTAATGTATTATACAAGTATTAACTTAAGGTGTTCATAATGATAATAATAAAAATAAAAAATTTTAAATAACTTTCAGAAAGAAGGTACTTTCACTTGAAAAAAGCATACAAACGAAAAAAAGAACAAAACAAAGCATGATGCAAAAAAGAATAAAACAATGATAAATTCTGGGATAACAAATTTTATTTATTCATAAAAATAAAAAATCAACAACAACATAATATAACATAGAAATATATATACAAATTATCTATGCATTTTCATTTTCATTCTAACTAAGTGGCATGACTTAACAAGCTCTTAACGTCCATGGTGTGATTTAGAATGATGATGGATTGTTTTATGGACAGGGACCTTGATAGGATATGGTTTTTCAACAGGAACAGGAATATGACGTTCAATAGTGATGGGTACTGGTTTTTCGATTGGAACTGGGATGTGTTTTTCAACAGGATATGGTACTTTCTTCTCTACCGGAACTGCTACAGTTTTAATAATTTGAATAGGTACTGGTTGAGAAACTGGAACTGCAACTGGATAGGGTTGAGGAACGCTCACTGCTACCGGATGAGGAATATGAATTTTCACTGGATGTGATACTGGATAACCTGAAACAAGATTTAAAAAAATTTCATTAATATATTCTGAGATAAATCTTGCTGATTTTTTTAAGATTTACTTTTAAAGAGTTAGCTATTTTTTTTTATCTTAGTCATGAAGAAGCAAAATAGTTAATGGAGAATTCTTTTTATTTATGAAAGAAAGTTTAAATTATCTAGTATTTGATTAAATCTTACCAATTTCCTTGTACACGGGAACAGCGACGGGTTTCGTGACTTCAACATGTTCAGAAACAGGAACTGAGTGAACATGATTATCACCACTGAACCCATCTCCATGGAGTCCTTCCTGATTGCCATGATCAAAATCTTCGTGTAGTTGACTATTATCTTCATGTGAAGCGTGGTCAAAAGCCTTGTAGGTCGAGTAATCTTGATGATCTCCCCCTATGTGACCTGAAGAGGGTTCGAAGCCACCCTCATACTGATGACCATAGCTACCACTGTTGTATTCTGTGGCTTGAGCTTGTAAATTATCTGATCGTTCTATCGGTGTCTGTTGACCATAAAATGGCATTGCAAAGTGGCGGCCATATTGATCAGTAAATAAGACGGTAATTGGTGCAGCACATGTTCCTGATATAATGGAAACAATCAATACCTATAAGACAAAAGTTTTTTATTTGTAAATAATGTGAAAGTTTTTTATGTATGCATTTATGAACTACAAATTAGCTTTAAATCTCTCACCAACACTTATTTCAATTTATTACTCAATATAAAGTAATTTTATAGTACAATAAAATAATTTTTTTTAATTTTTTAAGACGTCATCATTTTTAACCAATTAATGTCATGAAATATCTTGAACAGATATGAACTAACCAGAGACAATTATTTTTAATAATTTTATAATAACCAGTATTATTGTGAGAGATTTTGCTAGCTTACAATTATTTGATTTAATTTCTCAAAAATGTGGTAATAAATTTATTTTCAAAACAGCTTTCAAATTTTACTCACAAAATCGCGAATGGTAAAATACATAATGATGAATATTAAACTTTACAGGGAAAGGTTTTACGATAACTGATACATCTTCTGAAATTTCCCGGCTTAATATACTCCTTCGCCTTTCACTAATGTTGACTATCGTTCACTCTCAGCTCAATTCAATTTGAGTGCGTTGGAGGTGCAATAGTTTTTCTCTTTTGCTTATTTTTCTCAGATATTATTGTCCAATGAGCAATCTACATATGGAGTCTAAACTATTAATGGGGAATCGTATAATTCTACAATCTCTATTAGTCAAACCATAGTTATAAGAAATTAAGGAGAAAGGAAGAATCAACTGATAAATAGATGTGCGAAATTTTGTTTTATTTGATTACATTCACATTTCTTCTGTACGTTCAACCTTCACCATGAGCCCCAAGACATTTGCTTATTTCCTTAAGAAAAAAATGCGAATTATTTATGACTATATTTTATTGCATATATTTTTACTCTACATCCACAACGTGGGTTTTATTAGAAAATTTATTAGAGATGTGTTTAGAGAGCATAACGAGTTGCTCTTATTATGATTCTCTTATTAATTGAGAATTATAACTGTCATATTAAGAATAAACATAATGGCCTTTCTTTATATCCAACTGATCATTTCCTGTTTCATATGATTATCTTCAAGCCTTAAAAGTGATTTATTAATGTATTTTAAACAAAGACAGACTATTTTTATACAAGAAAATATTATAAATGATTTTATTACATGACAAAGGTGAATGCACTTGTAAACATTAGTAGAAAAATTATGAATACTGCTAATATTCTACTAGAAGTAGAAATGAAATTTACATACAGTAACGGTTTATATAAAAATTCAACAACAACTTAGAGTCTATTGGCATACAGCATTCAAAAAATCTAAATTACAAAATATTTTATAATACATAAATCATAATGCAATTTGTCGTATACTACTTGTATGTCAAATACACAACAAAATTAATGCTATCTAGAATCATCTTGAATTGAATAAATAAGATAAAAAATTTGAGCAATAACAAAAATAATAATGAATCTTCGACTCATTTCATTAAAAATATCTGATAAATATTTAGCTACTAGTTAATTATTTAACAACTGCGTTACACTTTATGGTTGTGACGATATACGCGAGCATGACTACGACTGTGACCATGACCGTGACCATGACCATCCTTAAGTCCAGGGCCGTGTTTGTGGTAAATATGCTTATAAACAGGAATGTGAATTGGATAGGGTTTTTCAACAGGAACCGGTATATGTTTCTCAACAGCTACAGGCACGGGCTTCTCCACTGGTACAGGAATTATTCTCTCAATAGTATAAGGGACTTTCTTTTCAACTGGTACTGCTACAGTTTTTATAATCGGAATTGCTACAGGGTGTCCTATGGGAACGTGAACTGGATAGGGTTGCGGTACTGGTATAGCCATTGGATGTGGCACTGGTATAGCATATGGGTGTGCTACAGGCGTGCCTGTGGATACATTCAATATTGTAGTCAGTAAATTACTACAGAATACAGAAAGGTGGTTCATCAATATTTCAATTACCAATATTCTTGACAACAGGAACTGCTATAGATTTTGTCACTTCAATGTGCTGGCTAATTGGTACTGCTTGATCAGAATAGTGATGATGTTGGCCCCAATCGTTTTCAGAAACGAAGCTTGAATGGCTGTGTAATGACGAATCTGCATTATCAAAATTAGAGTAGTCAGAAAATCTATTGTAATGACTGAAAGAGTCAATTTTTGGTGGCGTGAATTCATGGATTTCTGAATAGCTATCTCCATCAAGATTTTTTAAGTTGTAAGTGTCATGTTCATAGGGTTCACTGAAAAAAATAAGTGAATAGTTATTTGTTGAATCAACACATATTAGAACAATTAATAAGTAGAAAGCTTACCCTTGAAAATGATTGGATACAATTTGTTCTGATCCATAACTGGCAACTACTACTGTTGTTGTAAATAAACTGCTAATGAACATCTAGAAAAATACAAGGTAACATAATACTGCAATTAAAAATAATAGTTTTAATTTTACTGAAAAGAAAGTAAATCGTTCCATCAAAAAAAGTTTATATATATATATATATGTTTTTTTATTTTTGTATTTAATAATTATTGCCATCATTAACTCGAATCAATTCGTTTTTTAGAAAAACAATTATACTGTGAATGTTTTTTTTTTCGAAACCATCAACGATTATTAATGTAACAATTGTATCTTTAATTGATTAATTCATAAATTGATTAGGGTTATTCGCTCCATTGAACTTACAAAATTCAACATTTCAAAATTGTAATAAGATATGAACAGTTTAGATGTGAAACCGCAACTTTGTAAGTTTATACTACTTATTACTACTGATCATGCTGTCGTTTTTATAGTATATGCTTTCTCCCCCTTCTCATATATGACTGGTGTCGTGAAGATCTGGGCAAACAAGTATTTTTCTGGTGTGAATTAAATTTCAGCGACATGCGATGATGTTGAATGTAGTGACATACTTCACATATGAATAGACAAAAGGAAGTAGAAAAAAGTTTTGTTTTAGAAATCTTTTTTTTCAACCATTTATATGTTTATTTGTTTATATTATTTTGATCGCAAAATCTGTAATTTTTTTTATCAATTATCTTAATGAGTTGCTTTATAACAGTAATTAACAAAAGAAACATTTAAGGTTCATCAAGAAAGCAAAAGTTACTCAAGTGAAACCGTTTATACTCTGTTTATGATTGTAATTTAAGTTGACGATCAACGAGAAATCACTACATCGATGATATTGAGAGTTGTTGAAAAAAGATCTCACAGTGAGAGTAGTTACACGATGTACAGCTCTTAAGGAAAGGAGAGCAAATAGATAAGGTGAGGCTACTATGATGAAAAAATACTCAAACAAGAAAGAAACCAAAAAATGCATCGATGAAAGTATTTGACGCAAGAAAGGTTGATCGATTAAACGATTTAATCAATACCGAAGAACTATCACTTTTAGTAGTAGAGATAAATTACTCGTATCTACAGACATTCTTGATTCATAATGCATTAGCAAATTGCGTTTTTGTATTTTTTATTACAAGCAGGAATAGTTTTTTCCATGAATACAGCTCTTTTATTTAATATTATAAAACATGAATTCGGATTTTTTATCAATATTTTATTAATTATTATAATAATGAATAAAATATCTTCAAGAATTTAACCACCACCAATTATCATTTTTTCTATTTCTAATTTTATCAAGTACTAATTATATTGATATAAATTCATTGAATCAGAATTATCCCCAAGGTTGATAAGCCACAGGTTTTGAAGCAGCAGCATGATGAACAGCATTAGCTATCGCATTTTCTTTAGCAGCCACTATATCTCGAATTTTAGCATCTTTTTCACTTTGAGAGATCTGTTTATCTACTTCTTGTTTTCGTAATTCCGCTGCTGTGTCGGAAGCATTTTTTTGAATGGCTGCAGCTGCAGCAGCTTCTCGAGCTGCAGCGACCCTCTGAGCAGCTGCGACGACGTCTTTTAAAGTAGCTAATCGCTGTTGAAGAGCTACAAGTTGCTGAGCACTTGCTCGAGCTTCTGCTTGAGCTTGAGCTGCAATAGCTTCAGATCTGTTAAATGAAACAAAAATTAGAATTTATCTTATTACCATTTTTATTATCATTTTAAAAGTTTTTTTTTTAAATAACAAAAATTAATAAATAAATTCAAATGCCATTCAAGCATAAAATGAAAAATATAACAATATTTGTATTATTAGTTAATAACGGGTTTCCTTGATTAATAATTAATAATTTATATCAATAACGAATTGTAGAAGTCAAATCCAAGTATACACGTTTTAAATAATTAATTAAATTTCAAGATTCTGTGGTTTAAATAATTAGATAAAATATTTGAAGTCACTTCGAGAATAATTAAATTAAATTCTTGAGCGATAAAAGTAATTGTGTGAAAAATTTTTAATTATCTTAAACGTAATTTCAATCTGTCATTCAACAAATTGGGTCATTTATTTTCATTTATTTTGCTATGTTGTTATTTACAATTTGACTCTCATTAGTATGTCTATTTTATGATAATTCTTTTATTTTGTATACTACCTATATTATAAAAAGAACTTTTTTGTCAAACGTCAAAGATCTATTCATAATTATCTTTTATGATGTCAAATGGTATAGATTTATTTAAGATTATTAATGAAATACAGTCCAATGAATCAGTTACCTTTGTGCTGCTTCTCTTGCAGATGCCTCTTTCGCTAAAGCAATTTTTTGTTGAATAATTGCAGCTTGTTTTGCCTCTGCAACTCGATGTTGAGCTACAAGAACGTTATGATTAGCGTCCTTTGCTTGTTGAACTGCTCGAATAACTTCTGGAGGATAAGCAATGCTGGGAGTTCCAGGTGCAGGATCCTTTAATGCCTTGAAGAATAATTTTCAAAATTTAAAAGAGAGAATCATTCATTTATTCAGGAAAAATTAAATTTTTATTACTATTTCGAAAACATAAATTCAATCTTTTTTAATAAAATAAAAATAAAATTTCTCATTAATTACATACTTGAAGTGCTACATCATGCGTTGCTTGAGCTTGAATTTGACTTAAAGCAACATCTGATGATATTTGAGCAGGCCACACTGAACCTATACCTGAAATCCATGGTGAACCAAAAACCGGAAGAACTCCAACAGTATCAAATCCTGGACCACCAAATAGTGTCACTCCTCTTTTCTCCTTTTTTGTTTTTTCAGAATCATCAGCTTTAGCTGACGCCACAGCAAAAATTACAATAATCTGTACAATAAATAGCAAAAGTTAATAATTAAATTTTTTTAATAAAACTGCAGGGAAAACTGTTGAAAGAAAATTAATAGAAAATTTGAAAATAACTAAACTTTACCCAAAGTACAAACTTCATCTTGTTTGAAGGACGATGGTTGTACTGATGTAGAACGTGTGTCAACTCAAAGTATATATACTTGTTCCCCGAAACATAGAACATCTTACGTAGTTCAAATAATAGCAAAATTAATTAAAACTATTAAATTATTGTAAAAATAGTCGTTACTTATACCAAATTATAGGTTTCTGATTTATAATGACGATTGGGTGATAGCGTGGACATCCAATCTTCGTAGAGTTGCTTGATCCATTCCCTAAGTTTGATTACATAGCGGAGACAAGATGAAATTGGAAACTTAACCAGGGGATCCGGAAATTGTTTCAGAATCAATTTTTCAATAATCATTCCTTCATACATTTCTAATAATTAAAAAAAAAATTAACAGTAAATAATTTTAACATTATGAAATGAATAATTAATTGTCTAGTAGTTATTTCGAATCAATTAAATCATGAATTTATTTTATATTTATTTAAGTTATTTAATTTTCCATAATACTTAATACTTCATAATTACTATACAATTGTATGTAATTCAACTACATCATAAATAATATTTAGAATTGTATTGATAATGTTATTAATTTAGTTTAATAGTTTATACTATTGTGATCGTTCTCTTTTTGTTGGTCTTTCCGAAGTTTTTCTTTTCTTCACGGGTTCCTCAGCTTGTTTTGGTGATGCTTCATTACTTCTATTAGAACCACTTGTTTGTGATTTCTGTCTGGGAAGTTTGTGACCAAAGGGTGTTTTCGCCATCAATTGAACAGTTTCCCTATATAATTATAATTTGTTCAGTTTAATTAAATTCATTTATATCTTAACAAACATAATACAATCTCAATCTTTTTATTTATTATAAATTATGTATTAAATTTTTTATTGAATAATTATTTCCAAGAGCATTAAATATTGCCAGTCTTTAGAATAGAGTGATATATTTGATTGAACGGATTGAAACTGTATTACGAAATATTGTCCACTTGTAACACGATCAACTAATACTCTAATTAAAATAAATAAAATTGTCTTACTCGTCTTCACCACTTGATTCTGCAAAATCATAGGATTTTACTGTTGGTGAATAGACGTACGGTTGTTTAGTTGGCTGACTCTGTTTGATTTCATGACTTCTATTGATGATTTTTACAGGTTTTTTTTCACTAATTGATACAATCTTTGATTTATACTCAGCTTCATCAATTTCTGGTACTTCTTTAACATGCGAATAATCTGGAAATTAAAAAATTTTTTAATTGCATTCAGACTTTTAATATCAATAGATTGAATCGACTGTTATCTTACCATTACTTGGAACTTCCCTTCTATAAGCATCTACAAATTCATCCGTAAAGTCATGACGATAACTCGTGTGATGAGGTAGACTTTCATCACTTCTATAATTTCCTTCTTCTGTCTCTTCTTCGTCATTTTTTTTAGTTTTTAACGCTTTTCTATAATGATTATCACTTCCATCTTGGTGTTCATAACTTTCATGAGATGATGAATAATTTTCAGGATCATGGTGTTCATAAACATGTTTTGTTGGTTGACTATTATATGTAAATGAAGATCCGTATTTTTCTGGTTTCTCTACTGGTTTTGAGTTTGATACACTTGATTGCTCAGGTGTTATTTTCGACGAGTATTTTCCAAATCCTTTGTCATAGGATGCAAAGAAAGGAGAGTTAAAATCTTTCTGTTTGTTAGCTTTGTTATTGAAAGATGTTGAAGGATTATATTCATATGACTCACTGCTGCCAAAAGAGTTTGGTTTAAATATTTTGAAACCTGTATACAAAAAATATTTTATTAAATATTTATTATTTCAGTAAGTAATTGTCTAAAAGAAAATTATTATTTAGAAAATAAAGTTACGACCTTCTTCATAAGATTCATCATTATGGTTTTCATCACTGCTTTCGTCATCCGCAACTGGACCGTTTGGTTTATCAATCACTTCAACATCACTTCTGATTCTTTCAAGTGGTTGCGAATGGTAAGAAGGTTGCTGCATGGCAGGTCCATGAAATAATAGTTGCGGTTGAGATGAGAGTGGTTGATAATTTCCACTTATTTTCTTTTGAGGATTTTGATAGCTGTGGTGTGGAGCATTTAAAGTGGTAGAATAAGCATGGAAATTTTCAACAGATGCTACTGTGCCAGGATTATTAAAACTTGTTGAGTAGATCGTCTTAGGTTCAGTGTTGAAAACTCGAACATGTTCAGAAACTTGTGGATTACTTTGAAGCTGAGGAGAATTAATCGGTTTAAAGCCCCCAGGACTTATCAAACCAGGAGAAAATGTAGGAGATACCGAGTATGATTTGATATCAGGATGAGTTTTCGAGTATTGATCAGTAAAAGTATTTCTTTGTACTGCTCTGGTATGTAATTGAGAGAAATTTGCAGTCTCAGGTTGTGTTTTTGGAGTAACTGGATAAGAAATACTTGGTGAATTGAAGTAATTCGTGGAAGGTGAGAAGAGCTTTGGATAGTCTTCATTCACCACAGGCTTTTTATAAAGAAAAGAAGCCATTGGATTATCTGATACAATTTTATATCCACTAGCATCAAATGCATTTCCGTAATATTGTTTTCGAGGAGCATACATATTTTTTAAGCCCTCATGAGAAATATGTGAATAATATGGATCAACGTTCAACATCATAGGAGTAGAACGAGTTGCATGATGATTTAGCGTACTCTCATAATGTCTATATGGACTATTTAAATCACTTCTCACACTATTTTGCCATAAAGGAAAATTAGATTTCATATAAGACACTGGTTTGTTATAAATTGGAGACACAACACGTCGATATGGTGATAATAATGCCTTAGGTGACCTTTCTGATGAATTATAACTAGTTGTCAGCTCAATTGATGATGTATTATTACTTCCTACCGCTATTTGAACTAAGAAAAATAAACTGAGTACCCTCGTGATACCCATTGTTTCCATGTTAATGATGGATTATTACTAAATATATTCGAACTGTGTTCTGATCTTTTATATTCCTTAGTCAGTAGAGCAGAACAGTGAAGTGGACTTCTCTTTTCTAAAGATGATAAAAAATAACCAAAGAAAGAGTAATTCAGATCCATAAGATTGAGATTTCCGTTTGCATTGATGCGTTACATTTCTAGTTATTTTATTGTCGTGTTTTTTATTAATTTTTTTGTAATCATATAAATAATTGAAGGCATTGAACTCCCAGATATCAGTATAAGAAAATATATATTTCTATTATTGTGAATGTATAAATAAATGGGTTTTAAATATTATCGTAACAAAAAAATAATAATCATGTTTAACAAATAATAATGCATATTAAAATTTTTTTACAAACAAAATAATAGTAATTACATATAAGTGGGTATAAATAATAACACAAATCAATTTATGTATTTATTTACATTTTACAAAATTATTCAAACATATCCTATACAAATATTCTTATAGCTTATAAATGAACTGTAATATCAGTCATAACGCCCACAACAATAATCTTAATTAGAGAATTAAACATTAGATACTTAATTTAAGTTAGTAAAAAAACTCCATTCTCACACTTTGGTAGGAGCAAGCGGATAATTTTGATTTATTTCAGATAACAACCTAATTTTTCAGCGATAGTATTGAAAATAAGACACAGGAACAGGCGGCATTGGTGGTGGTTGCCTTTGATAAATCCGACGATTTTCGTCAAAATAATATGGATAATCATTTTCATTGTAATTATTTGCAATACTCTCTGCTGCTCCTGGAGGCAACTGCTTTGCTTTCATAAGCCACCCTAAGAAATTGTGCGTGCGAGGGAGGTTGAAGTCGATGTAATCACTCTTTGACGTATGATGGTTTTTTGGAAGCTGAAAAACAGTGAAGTCAGGAGAGGAAGTAGTAAAGGTCGGATAATTATCAAATTTGTTTTCTTTTCCACGATAATCACCATTAACATTTCGAGTGTGATGAGGTCGACGATGGAAAGTCACATGGCTTGCAGAAGTTTCTAAATTATTTGGTCGTGAATTATGAGAGCTTGGACGCGAATGTGGTCGTGCTTTGGTTCGTTTTTTCTTCTTTTTCGATTTGTCAATAAATGAATTACCAGCAACAAAAGAATTAACTTCTGGTGGTGTTAAAAAATCATTGATTTTGATCTCTGATGGTCTCTGTAATAAATGAGAATCTGAAGAAGGTTTAAAGTCATTCTTGAATAGATGTTCAAGTGCTGCAACTGATAACCCAGGTCTCTTCGATCTTAGCGGATCAGCAGTACGGAATTGTGTTTCTGAATGATGAGCTTCAAGTACTTCTTTTCCATATTTGGTGTTAGCCATTGCTGCTCTAAGTTTTTCTAAATCTTTTTTCAACTTTCCATAGTCTACACCGTCAGCAAACGTCAAATTTTTAACTTTTCTATCAGTATTCCATTTATGTGTATTATAAATAGTTCTAATTGATTCTTTAAACATTTCTTCAGCATACTTTTCCAAATCAGAACTAAGTTTTGGTTTAGTAATCAAGTCCGACTGAGCAGCATGATCATGTTTATAAAATTTTCCTCCAGGTACAATTGGTACTAAGTTTAGAGATGGAGGAAGAGGTTCTTGAATTTTTCCATTGAGTATCGTTTGACTTTTGATTAACTCCATATTCGGTACAAAATTCATGGGATTATATACAAAACTATCAGCTCCTGAATGCTGTCCGGTAGCTTTCGTGCCAATATGTGTTAAAGAATCGACATAATTTTGAACGGTATTTGGCTCTACTGGTGTCGGAGTCACAACTGGCCCTGTTGCTATAAATCCTCCTGGAGTGCTTATGATTGGAATTGGTGTAGTCACAACAGCAGTAGGAAATTGAGGAATCACTTGAGCAGCAACTGGAGTTAAATTCGGATTCATAATTTCAATATTCTGCATGCCCACCACTGGTAATTGACCTTTATCATTGGCTTGAATCACATTAATAGCATGTTCATGATTACTACTTGGACTACCAGTATGATCTCGACCAGGATACGTATGTAGATTTTGATATTTTTGTTGCTCATTTGCTTGAAGTTGCTGTAGTTGCTTCCATGTATTTTCAAGAATATTATTTCCCACATTAGTATACTGTTGACCTTGAGGTTGACCATAATTAATCATGCTTACTGCAGGAACTGGTGTCGCTTGAATGAAACCAGGCACGATATGTGGTAAATAAGTTTTAATTCTCGATCCTATGTTTTCATTTTTATAAACTGGATACACGTTTGTTTGCATTTGAGGCCTCAATACTTGTGCATTAGCTTGAGGTGCAGCAGGTACATTAGTGTTTAAATTATTCACTGGTACATAATACCGATTGTTGCTGTTATGGTTGTTATTATTATTGGCATTTGAGTTTTGGGATTGATCTCCATGACCTACTGAGTAACTAGCAGATGCTATTAAATGACCGTGTGATCCAGAGAAAGTATTTTTTTTCTGGTTCTCTCCAGAATATGAAGGGACATTTCCGTGATTGTTAGTTGGAGATTGTGTGGGTATATTTTGTCCATGCATACTGTGAGGATTAATCATGATGTTATAATTCGTAGGAGAAGCAGGAGTGTGATAAATAGGTTGTACAGTTGAAGAAGGATAGAATAATTGTGGTCCGGTGACTTGAGGAGCTACTACGTGAGGTTTTGATGTTCCAGTACTTTGCATCGTCGTTAATGATTGCATCGTTGGATTAACGTAGATGGGTGTTGCTGTACTTTGAATGTATGTTTTAACGTTTGAATTATATTTACTATTACTTTGAGGAAGTAAAAGTGTTTGTATAGGAGTCTGGAATGAATTTTGGCCTACAACGATATCAGAAACTGTAGAATAAACATAACCATTTTTTATAGGAGTTGCTGGTGTCGTTTGCATCATAATCGGTGGACCACTGCTTACGAGAGGAGAAGCAGTACTCACAATTGATCCTGAGGGAACAAAGTTTGACGCCCCTGTGTTAGATACATCAAATCCTTGACTATTTCCTATTGCTGTGTTGTGGTCAAAATTAGTTACAGGGACAAGTTTAAAGTTAACAGGAACTAAAACGTCTGGTTTATCTATTTGACTTAACTCATAAGCATTGGATGGAGAAAATTCAACATTCGGACCAATTTGACTCCAAGAATTGGATTTCTCTTTTTGATTTTCTTTTTTTCCATTTCCTTTATCTCGGTATTGAGTTTCTTTAGTAGCTTCTCCAGAATTTTCTTCCTGACTTGAGTGGTCCTCCTCATTCCAATAGCTTGGTTTCCCTCGATTTCGATGCGATTTTGTTCTAACTAAATCGTCAGGGACACGATGTTCTTTGGGTAACTTCCTTGAACTATCAGAGTAAGGTTTTCTTCTACTTTTATGAAGTTTTCTCGATCGCTCTGTAATTTCGTAGTAATCTGTGTTCTCATCAGAATAATCCTCACTTCGGTCGTATCGATCTTCCGATAGATTTCTTTCATATTTATGAGCAGATTTGTAAGAAGGTGGGCTCAGTGTAGTAACTTTGAATGTCGGTTGCGGATTGTAGTTTACATTGACTTTATAATCACTTGGTTGTACTACTACTGGTTTTTGATGTTGATTTTGTTGTGCATCCACAGCTTGAGTATTCCAATTATTTTTAGCATATGCATCATAATCAGCTGCTCCATATTGATAAATATTCTGTGGTTTTTCTTGAGTGTGAATATGAGAATTTGTTTTCTTTTTCGTACTTTTCACATTTGTATGAACAGGATAATTTTCATTATTGTTATTATTATTGTCATTATTATGATTTAAATACTCTTCAATTTGTTTCATTCTTTCTTTTGTTCTATAATAACTTAATTTTTGATTGTTAAGAACACTACTTGGATGATTCTGATGATAATTATAACGATGATTATGATTGTCGTCATTATTTTCTCTATTCTTACGTAGATTTTCGTAAAAATCGTGGTAGTTTGCTACTGCTGGAATTTTTTCGTTAACTTTTAAAATCTCAAATTCTTTCTGATCATCTTGGGAGTCTAACCTTCGATTTGCATCTGGATTAGAATTATTCAGAACAAGCTTAAAATCATTGGAGAAATGTTTTTCATAATTTTCTGTAGAAAAACTTCGTTCATTTCTTGGAGGTCCAACTATCACTGGATTATGGTTAGTGTCTGATAAAATTGGAACAAATCCATTTGAATTTTCATAGTGGATGGTACTATGATTGAATTTTGATGATGGTGATAATAAAGTACGATCTATATCATGATTCGTAATTTTGGACACTGATGATAAAGCATATGAAGCAACAGCAACTTGATCGATGTCATGATTTGTCTCAGCACTTCTCACGCACGGCCAGTAAAGTAATAACAGGATTATCTGAAAAATTGTAGTCAAGCGTAAAGAATGATTCTTTTATGATCAAGCATATACACACTTAATCTTAAAACAGTGTAGTGTATCTAATGGATTAGAAATTGTTGAACGAGAAAAAATTTTGTACTTAAATAAAAGGGAACAAACCCAAAAATTTAAGAGATTCAATCAAACGAAAGTTAATATAAGGGGATGACCTAGAAAAGAAAAACTAAGTGGAAAAGTAAAAAAGTAACAAGTGGAACATTCGTATGTGCACGAATAAGATCTAAATGCTCACGAGACCAAAACTACGTAGACTTTCTTACGCATTTCAAATTAACCTTAGATAGTGATTGACAAATATTATACGAGTCTATATAAATTTAAAACTGATCTCTTTTCTAGAGTTTTCATTGATGTTCTATTCTTATATATAATATAAAAAATAAAGACAATTCCTAATTTTCAAAAGATATTGTTTTTAAATAAGTAGAAATTTTATGTTCAATTAGAAACTTTTGAAACATTTCAATTATTAATCAGATGAAATTTTCTCAGATTGTTAGAAATCAATCCTGAATGTATAAGTAACGCATCAAGAAGATATATTTTAACTGCTTTCAGAATATTTTATGTAGTTTATCAAAATTATTCTAACAACTAGAAGAATGGGAAAAGCTTTTGAACAATAAAATAAGAATTTATTAATACTCCTGGATGATTTTTTATCCCTCTATTTTACTAAAATGTGATATTCCAATATTATAAACAGTTTTAAAGATTTTATTAATTTTGGAGGGAAACAAAAAATGCAATTCTTGTCATTTTAATTCAGGAATCCAAATGACATAAAAAAATATTTTTTATTATTGTAAGTAAAATTTTACTCGTTTTTCCATTAATCTTGAAATATGTTCGATAGAAATTCAGTTGTTTAGAAAAAGATCAAATATTGTTGTTTATTTCCACTAGCAGACTGAGCAATTGGTGATAAGCTTTAATATAAATTTCACTTGACAACACTTTTGATAGTTTACCAATTCGAAATATTTACTTACATAATATAACATCATTCTAGACACCGTAATACTGGCCGGTGAGCCTAGGTTTAATTATAATTGTTTAAACAGACTTCACAAAACTTGTGATATACATGCCAAAATAATTCTAAGAAACGAAAGACGATCCTTCGAGATTCACTCCGTCGCGAGAACTGAGCCACATAGTAAATGCGCGATTTTCTTTATACACTCCGGCAACCAAGTGAAAAATATCGTTCTAAATATTATCGTATAGTCCTTTACTAAAGATACTTTCATTCAAGACACGCGACTGCTGTTGGAAAAGTCTTGTCCGTAATATGAGAAGGATGTTCAGATTCCTGCTATTATGAAAATCACCTACCAGAACCCCTGACGTCCGATAGAAAACTACTCTCGCAGTTGCCCAATGAATTTCACTTTATCGTTAACTTTAAGCACTATATGAAATCCCGCAATATCCAATACAAAAATCCAATAACTTAGTAAGATCTTTTTTTTATTTAATAACTCTCGATTTAAAACCGCAAAATACTATAGCTAGTGATTTTGAACCTGAGCAAAGTCTAGTTTGATCATCAATCGATTTAGTTTGGAAAAAAATCTGTTGCAGATAGAAATTATTGATTTTCTTTGAAATAAAATAGACAAAAGGCTGGAAATGAGAAGAAGAGCATTCTCTTTAATAATATTAAATTATAAAAGCTGACTAGATCATTAACTTGACTGATTGTTGTTCATGATTAAAATAAGGAAACTATAAAAAAACCGCGGTCTATAAATCAATAATTAATTTAATAGATTAGAGAAATAATTATTTGCAATAAAAAAATTAAACTTTGAAAATAGTTTTAGCTACCACTTGACAAGAAATACGTAATTGATGGTCATTACTTTCGCAATGTAATAGGAATCTATTCGCTCTAAAACACACAGATATTCGTATATTCGAATTATAAACTACTCGGAGACGAGCCGTGCGATGCATCTACAGAGGGAGAATTGCGTACGAGAATTTATCACTGCGAACGCGTGCTGCTTGCTTGAGTATACTTACATTTAATGCATTGTTCCTAATTGCTCTAAGCATCGTTGAATTTTGCGATAGTATCGAGATTCACTTGTGAAAACATGAAATTCTTCCACAGCTGTTATTAACATTGCTTCAGAGTATATTTTAATTACTTCAGTAATTTATATTTCATTGACTTTGTCATTCAATGAACAATGAAATAATGGATTTGGAATATAACTATTGTTTAATGTACTTTTCTACATGTTTATTTATGTTGACATAAAGAATTAAAATTCTTGCTAGAAGAATATTGAGAAATAAAAAGGTACAAAAGAAATATGAATAAATTAGATAATGTAACTATTAAATAGCATAGAAAGCTGCGATGAATTAATTTATATTTTATGACAATAATATAAATTGTTTTTGAATATATAAAATTTAAAAACAATTTATGATACAAATTTTAATATTAAAAAATTCAGGAAATTTTTGTGCAACAGCTTTATTTATTAAAATACAAAACATAAAAAATTCAACATAATTAAAAAGAATAATAAAAAAATTACATTCTATGATATAAAGGTACCTTTCTGAAGTGTCGAGATTTGGTGCTTATTAATCTAAAATTTTCAAGTAATTTTAAATGTACATTTTTAACTATCTAAAGAAATATAAATCATTATCAGAAAAATACATAAAGAGAAAAGGTATCTCAGTTTTATTTGTTTATATTGCACATCTCCCATGATAATTAAATATTATAATAAAAGTGATATCAAACAATTTATTCAAGCTCATACTATTGTTTGGATATTTACGTAAAATTGTTACTCCAATGGCACTTGAATTTTTCCTGCCAGTTCCTGGTTGAAGAAAAAATTTAATTACTCCTGAGATGGTTCCTTGTAATCTGACGATGGCTGATCTTCGATGATCTGTACACTTTTCACCTTCGGTTTTAGTTTTGGTTTCAAACCAGGATATTTAAATCTTGTTGGATTATCTGAACTAAATTGATTTTCTGTGCTCGTTAAAGTGTCATAACTTGTCTTCTGGCTATTATACTGGACAGTTTCATACTCAAGTGGAAGATTAGCAATACTTTGAATATTTAAATTCCTGTTGTGATTACTATTAGCATTATTATTCTTAGCACTTGGAGAGAATCGTTTCAAAGCTTGCGTGAGATAAGTTAAATCCTCAATTGGACTAAATTTCGATTGATCGTCTTGATTGTAATTTACATTTTGGCCTGCAGCCTTTCCGACGTACTGAGTGAGATATTGTTGAAGCAATGCTTTTAAATTAATATTTGGTGTAGGTTGAGGAGTAACTGGACGTGCTCCATCCAGTCTCAGGATAATTACAGGTACCAACGAGTCACCAGCTTGAATGAATGTTGGAGTAGCATGAAGAATAGATGAAGGGTCTTTGATATACTGTGAAATAGAAGGATTATAATTTAATAGACTTTCATAGTTCTTCTCAATAAATGATTCAGTATTTCCATTGGCTTGTTTATTTTTTTGACTATTCAATACTTTTGTTAGATATTTTTGAGCTTGTGGTGAATATTTAGAAAGAGTTTCTGGAGTTAGTTGAGTTTTTTGAGCAAATGTATTTGGTGTTGGTGTAGTTTCAGCTTGAGTAACTGGTGGAAAAGTGTACTCAGGATTAGGACTATTAACAGAATATTTAGGTACAGATAAACGATTTTCTTGAAATCTGTTCGGTCCTTTAACATTATCTCTTTGTCTAAACCCATAATTAGCTTGATAAGATAAATCAAAAGCTGAAGATTGAGAATTGCCTCCTGGACGAGCAGAAAATGTTCCTTGATCCATAGGAAATTGTGCTGGTTTTTGTGAGTAAATATTCTGTTTCTGATCAATAGGATATCTTGTATTTTTATTATCCTGATACGCAGTATTTTTAAATCCTGAAGTTGGTCGATAATTTTCAGCAGGATAACGGAGATTTGGCGAATTAGATGGATTTGAAGAGCTTTGGAATGTAGATTGGTGATTAATTTTAGTCTGTTGTGGTCCTGAATATTGACTGTACGAATTTATGTATGAAGTAGCAGGAGGGTTTGCAATCCTTCCATCAGGATACTTCCAAACGATCTTATTCTCATATTTAATGCCATTTTCTACTGTGTAACGAGGAATATTAAATAATGATGGGTCATCAGATAGAGGGTTAGGTGTTGTAAGGGTCTCAAAAGACGATCCGGGTGGATTTAATCCTGCCACATATTCACTATTATATGTTGGTGTGGTTGAGTAGTCTGAATATTGATTCGAATAGACAGAATTTACAGTCGTGAAATCATTTTGGTTTTGATTATTAAAGTCTGGTCTTACTGTTGTGTAAGCTATGTTTGATTTTATTGTCGTTGTGTATCTCTGAGAATAATCTGAAGGTGTATATTTGCGTAGTTTCGTTCGTTGACCAAATATTGGTTGATTTCGTGGAAAAGGAGCTGTCCACGGTTGAGCAACCGGCTGATTTACTACATTCATTTGGGGCTTTGATGGATATAATTGATGATTAGCACCATTGGCAGATTTTTCTGTAACTGGTTTTTCAGTTTCTATTATCGTTTGTGGTTCGAATGGACTTATTGATTCTTCAATAGTGACTGTGTTTCCTGTTTGACTCCCAGGGAAAAAATATTTATACTTTCCATCAAATAAACTATTTTGTAAGTATCCATTTCCTAAACTCCCTTCAATTGTACGTTTGGATTTTTCTTGTGGTGATGTATTGTTTTCCAAACTTCCTACATCTATGGCAATTATAGGAGGGAGAATAAATAACTCCTTGTCACTTGAATCCTCCTCATCTGCATATTCGTCTCGATGGTTGGGTATTGATTTTTTCTCTGAACCTTCAGATTCCTGGTCAACTGATAATGATTCTTCGCTTTTGGCGAGAGCTGTTACAATAAGCAGAAGCTGAAAAAACAAATATTATTATTAAAATGTGGTTGCCTTGACACATCAAATGATTAATTTATTTATTTATTTCATATAAAAAATAGTGAAATATAACTTTAATAGTCGTGTTATTTAATTAAAAGTATTTCGATGACTCTTTGATCTTTAATGAAGCAATTTTTCCATTCATAATAGGATGTTTATTTTTTATCAGTACTAATTAAAAATATTAATTGTTACTTTATAAATATGCATTTATCACATTTTCGAAAGTATATTAGCAAATTAATTTTTTTGATTAATTCTGGTCTATAGTAAAAAATACTTCTGATTAATTTCAAGTCTACTTTATTACTATTAAGAATCTATAAATCATACGTTTTTAAAATATAGAAAAGAGTGATCATGGTCAAGTAAGGTCAAGTAAAACAGGAAAATCAAGGTAGCCTTGTTATAATGATGAAACATTCACTCAGACACCAGTTTTCGAGATCATTGAACATTTATCTGGAGAATTCATATCAAGATGTTACTTTCACCGGTACTTCTTTCTATTTATGTTTCTCTTTTTTTCTTAACCTGATCTTTTAATAAATTCTTTTCAAAGAAAACGCTCTAAAAATATTATCAAAACCTCAACTACACAATTGGATAAAATCATTATTATTTTAGAAATTTTGTATATATTGGGTTTTCACCGCTTTCTTTCATCAGTAGATGAAAGAAATGAAAAATGAAACAATACATCCCTATAATTTTAAACTTAAAAGCTTATGAACATCCATAAACAACTAAGCTACATAAAAAAATAAAATTTATATTTTTCAAGTAAGTAAACACACCAAAAAATTCACATCTCGTTGATCAAACCATAAAGTGATTTTTTTAACTTTCACTAGATCTCATAAGAGCATCTGCCACCTTTAACGTGTCGACAAAGTAATCTTGCGTGATTGGAAAATCGGAAACACTTTCTCTGTAATTACAATTATCGATTCACGGAAACAATTCGTGAACTAATTTTTATAATAAAGAATCAATAAAACTCGATAACCTGATTATAGCACAATAAGACATTTCATTTGATAATGTGATTTTGATAAAAGATACACAATGTAGATCACTAGAAAAAATGGGTTTGTGTAATAAATTACTCTCTTGAACTAATTTTTTTTTTAATTGTCTCCGTCACAAAGATTGAAAAGTATAAAATTATTTCTATTATCTCATTAACGAGTGAAGAGAAGTGTAATAAGTACTTACATATATCCAAGTGGATTTCATCTTAATGCCTATCAGATGTTCACAATGTCTTCGATACTTTTAATGTCTTTCGTTTCGATGAACAGGTCGAGTGAGTTTGGTACTGATGAAGTCGAGGCCACAGCATCCCACCTTATATGCCCTCGCTCTCCGTGCGAGTAGGACATCACATTATAGTTTCTCTTCTGTAAGAAAAACATATATGCCATCCACTACTGAACCAGGAAGATACGCACCAATAGCGTAGCTTCTTCTTTCCAACCACGTGGACAGGTTTTAGTGGATTGACTAAATTCTTTTTTAAATATCCAATTATTGCCATAGCAATGATATATTAACATTACCACTAAGTGTATTTAATGTTTATTTTAAAGGAATGACTTGGCGATAATAAAAAAAAACATTTAATGTTATTTTAATTTTTATAGTTTATTTTAAATTTGCTAATGACAAGGGATTTTTTCAAATATCTGTTGACATAAAAAGTTGGCTTTTAAAGACTTTCAGTATACTTTTTCGGTAGTCTTTTAAGATAATAAAAGGTATTACGTTGATGATTAATCCAAAAAAGCAATGAAACGAAAAAGAAAAGAAAAAAAAAATTTTAATGATTATTTTTAATAGTCACTTTCATTTTTTCATTTTAAAATTACTTTAAAAAAAATCTGTTTAAATGATCTTCTCGGTATGCTGCACTGAATGTGTCAGTTCATACGTTCAATTTAAACTTTTACTTATTTATCAGTTGTTATTGGATTGATTATCATAATAATCAACATTATAAAACCTCATGAATAACAAATAAGTTCCTAGAGTTAAAAAATACCTTTAATTTGTAGATAAGAAGTTAAAATTATCACTAAATTTTTCACCAGACCTTTAAAAAGTTTAAATTTTCAATTATTTATTTATTTATTTTCATAAATTTTTTCAATTCCTGTAATAAATTCACATTAAAGTTTGACGTCCTCTAAATGTTAAGGCCACTAAGCCCTGAGAAACGACACCATTGACTTAGCCATTGCGGTCGCTTTCTCGTCGCTTCATGTCTTCATGTCTACATCAATACGCAATATTTGTTTAAAACCAGTGAGTACATTGTGGACGCAATGTATACAAGTCTCTTAGAAATTACAGGTGTTATAACTTTTGTCGAGATAATAGGCATAACAATCATTTTCTTTAATTAAAGTCGGCAATTTTTTTTCAGATTGAATAAATATTTGCTTAATGTTTAAAAAAGTCGTTTATTAAAATGATCGATTTAGTAAATTTCAAAATTGAGAAAGGTTAATTTTTTATCATAAAAGATTCGCAATATTTTTGTTTCTAACTTAACTATTCAATTTTCATTTTCATTTATTAGTGAAATTTTTCTTATCAGTTGTAGAAATCTTGACACCAGATATTTTATGAATGAGAGCTTAAGAAAAATTTATTATCGAGAATTAATAAAACTGTTGAAAAAGGATATTAGGAAGATTGAATACATTGTAAAGCATTGTAATAGTCTATAAAGTCTTTCATGTGTAAGAATTATTGCGATGCGAGAAGGTAATTATAGCGTTTACTTATCTCGATGTATAATCAACTACATTACAGATACACTGGAAAATAGAAAAGTAAAAGCGTCCTCAATTGTCGACGCATAATTTAAATTATTATTCAGAACACTTTTTTCTCGAGTATTTTAATTTATTCTAATTATGATTAAGACTAAAATTAAAATAAAGAATAAAAAATTTTAATATCATCATTAACAATTCATTTTTATTAAAAAAGAGTAAAATTAATAAAATTATTAAGCGGTATATAATTGACATAAAAACTGCATGATTATTCGTATTTTTACATTGACGAATGCGTCATTTATCGATTCATGTTACCGTAACTTTTAAGCTATAAAAATATCTAGAATGGCTGTATTATTACAACTATATAACGCAAGCTATAATGATCCAATCATTTGATATTACGAGTTATGCTAATCTTCTTAGAGACGTCATGAAGACATAGATTACGTCGTTCAAGTTCATTAAGATTATAAAACAATATAATATTAATAGATAATAAAACAAAACATAATTCATCAATTAGGTGATTATGAAAACTTTTTCAATGATTTAAAGTGATCTATTATTGATCTTAATAAAAGACTAGATAGAGCGTCTGACATAACATCAGTATGAAGATGCCTGCAATATTTTACTTTACTATAGCATCAAATTTTGTGATCAAACAAGCCCAAAAAAGAATGAAAAATAGAAAAAAAAAATTTCAAATGATAATTATTACCTATTCGATATAATTTTCAATTGGAATTCGTCTTACGTTTTTTGTATGAATGAATTAAGCTTATTTTTGATGGGAGAAATCCACTCTCAAGTTTGATTGGTCTTTCTCTATATCTACAAAGAAAAAAATAATATTCATATGCATTTAAAAGTGATTAATTATGATTTTTATCTAGTTTTATTAATAATGAATCATTAATAACAATGTATTTAATGGTAGTCGATGATAAATTATAGCAAGTAAAAAATTACCTTTCTGCATCTTTAGCAGCAATCACGTGACTTGGAATATAAGAGTCAAGAAGAGACTGAGGTTCTGACAACTCATTATCATGATTCTGTACGTAATGCTCTCTATCACTCTCGCCGGAAATAGAGTAGTGATCAAACTTAAAGTTTTGTGCCGGTAATTGAGGTGGAGTTAAACCTTCTTTTGATGCATCTGAACTCTATTCCGACAGAAAAATCATTAGAATTTATATTTTTAAAAAATAATTTATTTAACTTAATCCAAAAACACCAAGCCAAAGTATTTGGCATAAAAAAAGATAAATCATGTAAATAAGAATAAATAGGTAAATATTTAAATAGTTCAAATTGTTATTTATTTTGCTTTTTAAGATATTTGAAGCGTTGTTGTTAAGCTTTGAGTAATTAGCTGATTCTTTAATGAAAAACGGTAGAAATAAATAAATTAAAAAGAGAAAATTATTTACCTACCTGTTCATACTTTTGATGAGTATTTCCGTTTGAGTGATAAGTTGATTTAGCCAATGGAACGACATACTGAAGCTTTTTGGGTTTCATATACTGAGTATATTGCTGCAAAATGCTTGAGTGAGGATTTGAGTGGCTTTTTACATAGACTGGTGTGGTCGCATACGTTTTTAGTTGATCAAGATTTGTCTGGGTATAAAGTGGACTTGAATAAAGCAATTCTTGGAGATACTGAGAATGCGGTTGCGCGATTACGGTTTGTGTGGTGAGCAAATCCTTTGGCTGAGTATCTTGAGAGTAAAGTCGGCCAGTTTGTTTCTGAAAAATCCAAGTAATAACGATAATAGTAATAATAATCATCAAAAAATATGTTACTAATGGACACAATAATTGTGAAAGCATAAATGAATATTAAAAAGTGGTAATAATTTTACAAATGATTAAAGAATTATTTAAAATTATGACTTTGTAAATTACCTTTCCTGAAATTATTGCTTGTGTATGTAAAGGATACTGGGATGCATATGTGATATGCTGAGGTTGAATTTTATAGGTCAGCTTAGAAGGCATATAAATTGAGGTACGGCTGAGGGCTCCAGAAGTATAAAGAGGAATGGGTATTTGCTGACCAACTTGATTCGCAAGTTGATGGAGAAAAGACTCACTTTTTCCCGAGGACCCTTGACCCAGAGACAAATGCGGATAGTAAGCCAAAATTTGATTCATAGGAATATAAATTGTACCTGCAATTATCATAATTTTTATTTCAAAGCTCATAATTTAATCACGGTGAGTATTTACGTCGTAAATGATGTATGTATTTTTTTACTCACTTTTATACCCGTTCGAGAGGTATTTTTCTGTAGCAGTTTTCTGTTGGATAGTTTGATATTGATTGCCAACGGAAATTTCTGGCTCGTAATACAACTGCTGCTGATAATTGAACTGAGAATTGCTTTTTGGCATGACTTCAATTTGATCCGTATACTCAGGGTATTGTGAGCTGTCATGCACACTATTTACTTGCTGATACTTAAATTCTGTTGGTAAATTTTCTTGCTCGTATTCACCAGACTCCTAGAATAAATGAAAGTTTAACGTTACAATTGCTTGAGTTTTGTACAATAATCAGTTTATTCCAACGTCTTTATAACTTTAATATTAAATTATTGTGAATATTGAACGCTTCTATAGAAGTCTAGTTCAATTGAGAATAATTTAATTTTCGTCTAACATAATATTGTTAACGGTTACCTGATAATTCACATGAGGTGGTTTGGCTGTAGTAAAACTCCCTAATCCACCGCCACCACCATTTTGATATTGAAGGGTACTTGATCGATAATCATCACTACTAATTGGTGGTTTTGGCTTCACTGAATATGACGTTTTCTGCAATTCAGAACTCGATTTACTTTCTGATCTCAAATTATCCTGCTCTATATCTTCAAGATTGATTTTCTTCTCTCCTCTTACTGATGTCAATAATAGCCCAAGTATCAGATAGACGATCTAAAACAAAAATAGATGTATTCAAACACTGCTATACAATTGAAAGTATGCGAAATAAATCTACCAAATTTACAAGCATTTTTGTAATATGGCGAATACACTTGTTTTGGATAAACTAAATGTATAATAGTCAAAATAGCAGAACGATTGTTTTCAAATTGCTTTCACTGATGTTTATTACGTTCTGGGTCATATATCCGGAATGGACCACTTATATAGACCTTCTCGATCGGGTACTTAACTACATCTATTTACGATAAATGCATCACACAAAGTAAAAGTGTTTTCTCTGCACAGATCTATTGAATTCTAATTTGCGGAAGTTTGGTGGTGGAATACAAGTAAAGCAAAAAATTACAAATTGTACCAATTTTCATTTTTTTACAACCACTCTGTAATAACATCTTAGTAAAATTAGCTCATTAGAGCCCATTAATACAATTAAATGTATCTAGCTTTTACATGGTGGCTATTTATTTGCAAATTTTTCTTCATTAATTCATTTCATGAATTATTTAACTATTTCTTATTTTTGTTTAATTCAAACTTTTAAATGATTTTCAAAAATAGTAAATATTTTATAAATTTTAGTATTAAATATTGAAAATTGATATTTTATCAAATTCTGATTATAAATCATAGCTATTTTACAGAGTAAAAATTTCCAACTGTGAATTTTTCGCACATGAATACATTTTTTTTCGGTGAAAAAATCAATCGATTCACCACATATTGTTATACAAAAATGATTTAGTTAAGTATTACGTGATTTTTAGAAATAATTTGTTTAGTTACATAACGGAAAAAAAAAATTTCATCATTTTATCTGTTTTTTCATCATATTTCCTATTTTCGGGCTCTAATGGACCATCAATCTACTTAATTATTCAATCGACTATATGGACTTTTAATGACTTTTAATGAAGCAGTGGTATACCTACCATTTTAAAATTAAGGAAAAAATTGTTCACGACACAAAAGACCTAGCTCTACTACAAAATCATGGCTAAGTGGGTTCAGTTATAAAGGCTGGACCCCTACTCCAGTTTCGAATATAAAGGTGCTACAGTTCACTCCAGTATTATAGAGAATGTAATAATCCATCCCGTTAATCCAACACACAGGGAAATTACCCCGTCTCTTCACCCATTCACTTGGCGGATCTTTCGCGGGCCAATGGATTGACTTCGTCTACCTACATCGCTAGCGATAGTACAAGGCCGCTTTCTTTAGAAGGTTAAATTGAGAAGCTCCACACCTAAGAGACGAAGAATTATAATCATGAGATTGATTGATACCTATTAAGTTAAAATGAAGTACTTTGATGATTTTAGCCATTAATTACCAGGATCATTACAACACGTTTTATTTAATATAGTTGTATTTTTCATGGGTCAATGAATATCCAAGTTTTATTGGACATTTCATATCTTTTATCATGCAAAGTAAGAGATCTAATACTCGACCACAGATTAATGCCCGATCGCTCGGGCATTGGTGTATAGTTAAGCATTTGATCTTTTATCTTAGAACAAACTACTATTTTCAATGTTGAAGTTTCTACTGATGTCAAATTACTAGAAACTGAACATTAAACAATAGTATTTTTTAAACTAAAAAGAAGCTTCTTGAAGATATTTAAAAAATAGACTTATTTTTCTTTCTCCAATTTTAATTTTATTCAGCTACTTTATGATCAAAAAAAAAAAAAATTCTCAACTTTTTAAATCAATTTGATTAAAGCAATTCTGTTAATGATTTATGCTTTTTTACTGGCTTTCAATCATAGTGATTAAGTTTTTGTTCAATTTTTTTTTGAGTTATATTATTATTCATTTACTAAAAATTGAGTTATTTCTAATAACTCTTCAATAATTCTTTTTTTTTTTTTTTTTGGTTAATAAACGATAAAATTTTTTCATTAACTGAATATTTTATGAATCTTAATTAATAAGAAATTTTATTTGATGGATAAATTCAATTACACCTAATGAAAATTGCTATGATATTCCCACGCTATAAAATACTTGATTAAACTTTATTTCATATAGATGATATTTAAATCTTGAAAAATATTTAACATACTTAAATAAATTTATCTAAGCAAATATGTAAAAAAATTCTGTTCACAACTTGTAGAATAAGTAAGTTACTAATTGCTTTTCAGCAATTTATTGCAGATTTGGTCTCAGATAATCAACACAGTTGGATTCTAGGAAGTCTTCACACTTCCGGTTAGCCAGTGCATCGATAAAGAGAAAATTAAATGATTTTAATAGATGACACCACCAAGTCACAATCAAGAAATCTAGTCGTGGGAACATGGATTTAGTCGTGTCAATCTCGCCCACTTTATATTTGCTTTGATGAGTTAACGTAATTATTGCGAGTAATTAATGTAAACACTACTTTCTTCTTGATTATTACGGACCAAAAAAACTTTTTTCAGTAGCTTCAATATCAATATATTAAAAATTAAATTTAAAAGTAATCAAAAAGAAACAAAATGCAAATAATTATTGACAGAAAAAAAATTCTGGGGAAAAAATTGAAATTAATGTTTTACACCTTTCGACCAGTAAATTACTTCTTCTCGCTTCAAGCTTCGATACATTGTAATTATTCTTCTCAGTAGCTATCATTTTTATTATAAATCTACCTGATGAAGATCTTTTTTGTTTAAGATATTACGTGAATTCAAAACTTTCTTCGATCGATTATAAAAATGTATCGAATAATAAATGATATAAATTTTTCAACTGAACAATAACAGAAATCATCAATCTATATTTTGTAATTTTAACATCAATATCCATTTATATCATAAATACGATATCTAAATGGTGTATTACAATATTTCACTCTTAATTAGGTAATATAAAAAGTGAATGATAAATGATAATAATAATAGGATATTTATTAATATAATGAACAATTCAAATTCTGTTTCAGTTACGTTCTTTTTTCCATTTTTAAACCTGTTGTATGTAACTTTCGTTTCAATTCATGGTTTAGTTTAATAACACGGAAATGATAATAACACTGGTCTCTTTGATTGCTCGATAAGGAAAACAATGATTTATAATTTGTTAAATGAACAATCTTCTAGCTTTGATTAGGATAAAATTCACTGCTCTAAGCACTCATACACATATAGAAAAGCATCAACGTCAATTAAACCATGGACTTTCTTAGCCTCTAGAGTGCTACAAATTACATTTTCTTTTTTTTTAGCTTGAAGAAATCCTACAGACATGTCTCGAGACAATATTTAAACAAAAAATTAGAACTTTCGTTTAAAATTATACTCTTAGGAGTGATGAACTTAGCTTTGAATGTGTCAATGATGACTATAAGTATAAAATAATATAGGAATGAAATATGGAGCTATTATAAACCGGCTTTCTTTTGTATTACCAACGAAACTGAACTAGTTTTGGATAACAATTTACTCTGAATGACAGAATAAGCTTCACTTACTTTCATGAAGATCAGTATAAGGCATGTAACATTTCGTGAAAGTAAACTGTCTCTGCCCATCTCATATTTTATTTTACTTTTCTTACCGCATATTTGAAGAGAACGTTGAAATAAAGTAGAACGATGAAGTTTTTTGCTTTACTTTATGTCTTTATTCCATACCAGACTCATAGAATAGTTAAAATTTTAATCATTTCGTCGTATTTATTTTTAACATACATAGTATTGAATATTATTTAATTTATATTATTAATGTTTGTATTAAGTATCATTTTTGAAAATAATTACATTAGTAAGATTAGAGTAATACTCGTATTATTATTGAAGATACTAATTATAAATTTTATTTGTATAAAGTTGGAAAATGAAATTCGAATATGTATAGATGATAAAATATGATATTGTTTATAAATAGTTCCTACAAAATTATATTAAATTCATTAAAATTGTTAATATTGGTCGATGATAATGCATACAATTAACAAAATTTATCAATTTCTCTTGAATAAAACCGAATCATTTTAATCAATATTAAGTTTAATTCATCAAAACAAATTGTTTCATATTATAAAATTCTTTTTATTATAAACTTCTGGGGTGAGGTTCTTTCTATCATGTATTGATATTCTAATAAACAATTTTTATTCAATAAAAGAATCTACTAGTTAACAAAAACATATAATAAATATTATATAAAATAATAACAATAATAGCAGTAATGTAATTCAGTAAAAATCACAAAAAAGTTCAACATTTATGAATTTTTTTATTTACATATTTCTATCAGATGTATAACCGATTGTATCTAAAGGAATCCTATAATTTGTCGATTGATCCTGATTACCTGGTGTAGAGTTATATCCAGAATATCGATAAACATAAGCTTGAGAAGGTTGTTGAACTTGTGAGGTTTCACTTGAAGAGCTTGTTGTTCCTCCATACGGCTGATTAGCTTGTTGAATAAATTCATTATAATCAGTATGATATCTTGCTGAATCGTTCACAGATTTTATTGGAGGTATATAGATACTTTCAGAAGGTTCAAAAGTGACTTGTGTGACTTTTTGACCTCTGTCCAGACCTCCAGTCGGATCAAGAAGTTGATATGCTTCTGGCATTTTAGCTATATGTCTTGGAGACACATTTATTGGTTGATTCATCACGTAAGCCAGTCCCGTTTTTGCAATCACCGAAGAAGGGTCCCTTTGGATTGCCGGTGGAGCCATATTTTGATGAACATCAGAAACTTCGTATTGATTTGATAACGATGGTGGGGATGGTGGATTAAGTCCTTGTTGAGCGACACTTTGCTGAGTTAAAAGTCTGGAAAGGGCAGCTGCCATAGTAGAATCCAACTGTTGGTACTTGTATCCAGACGGAGAAAGTGCATAATTAGGTTGTCTATTTTGCTGTTTCTCAATTCCAACGAGCTGATGGTAAGCAGTCGCAGGAAGTTGTGCACTTCTCAAGTGTAGTTCCGAAGCATCTGGCTTTACTTGTAACTGATTGAAAGTACTTTGCTTATACAAATTGGAATCTTCAACATCTCGTGAATTCGATACATAATTTGTTCCATCAATAAATCCGTCTTTGAGGAAAGCTAACTCATTTCTTGGTCTCTCAAGATTTTTCTCATTTCGTAGATCATTTTTGCTTGATTCATTAGTCTTAGAGTTAGTGTAAGCTTGTTTATAGTTTAAGTTAGAATTAGAGTTGGCGTAATAGACTTGTTGATAGTTAGGATAGAGAGTAGTGTAGGGCTGAGCTATGAGTGTTACGGGATAACTATTGTATAATGCATAAGGATAAAGATTAGCGTTGTAATTAGGCGGATTGATTCGTGGGACTGTAGCATATGCTTGGGATGGATTGTAAGCTTGATTAGTTGATGTGTAAGCTGGCTGATAGATGTTTGGAGCGGATGTGGCACTCGTTGAGTCTCTTTGATAATTTCCATTAAAACTAGTGCTATATGAATCACGCGTATTTGGTTTTGGTGTAAATGCCTCTGGATTTAACTGAGAGAGAAAATGTTTTTCTGTACCTCTTTTTATTAATTTCGGACTGTATGGATAGACAGGAAATATGGGTAGGAAGGGTTCATCATTCGGATTAGATAAACGTTGATATCTCTGAGCAGATATTGCCAGCGGTAGTAACAGAGCGATGACCTAGAAAAATTGGTGCAAAAATAAAAAAAACGTTTTTCTTAATCAATTGAAAGTAAATTCAATACTCACGATTAAATTCATTTTATTCAGTTGGTAAATATTATTTTTTAATTAAGATTTATTATTTGATACGTTATTATCAACTATACACTTGATACGTTCATTGAGATTTTAATTACTGAGCAAGATGTGCTCCACTCTTACTGATAGCTTAGCAACTAATGATGGATCTGACATTGAATTTCTCCTTTATATCTGTACTCCTGAAAAATTGCGAAAACTCGTTTGACTTTTCTCTCGTCTTTTACGAGCAATTCCAGCAGCGATGTATCGACATATACTCGTTAAACCAGTAAAAATCGAATGTGGTATATTTGAATCCTATCATCTTAACACTCTCACACGGACAAAATGTCGGCAGTAAAAATAATGAATAAGTATATACGTTCCACTGTGTGATTAAAATTATTACTACTTACGGAAGAACTGAAGTAGATGATTCTTAATAATATGCCTCTAGTGTTAATTTCATTTTCCAGTGAGTAAAATGTGAATGAAAAAATATCTATAATTAAAATCAACCTCTTTAATCATATTTTTTTCTATCATATACATTTATTTACGTCAAGTGATCGTAAAACCTAAGTTCGAAATAATCAAAACTTTAGAGAGCTAATGTTTTTTTTTGTGTGTCTTAGTAACGGATTTAATACTATTCGTGTATTTTTCATCAGGATTAAAAGTATTTAGGACCAAAAAAGGATAAAAATCTCGCCTTTAAAGGCTTTATCGGCTTTTTAATTTTAAAAAAAAAAATCATACAAAAGCATGAGATGGACTGTATTTTTCATATTTTTTTTATCTCAATTGTCTCTACATAAAAACTTAAACAAACCCATTATTTTTACAGCTACAAAAATTCCAAATAATGAATAAAAAAATAATAATCAATATCCTGTATCAGTTTTTATGATATAAGGGGTTTTTTTCTACATGATTTGATGTTGCCTAGAATATAAAAGATAACGAAGAGGGATTTTCACTCTACTGAATATGATTTTTTCAAATGTAAAAAATTACTCCTTCGACTGTTCAATGCGATGAAATACACAAGAGATGCGTATAAAGAAAAATGATAACACGAATCAAACGAAATCCTCTCATCTATTCTCGCCTCTGGGTGAAGGCAAATGAGATTCTATTGTTCTGCGACATGGAAGTACCAGTAACAATTCGCCCGGAATAATACCGGACGTTCTTGCCGATTGTGGCACGCGAGCCCGCAATTCCCTACGATTAGAATCACTTTCCCGGTCCGGAAGGGAAAAGCGTAAATCCTTGAGGTAAAAGATCTAGAGTTTTGCTTCTTCCTTCACTTACTTCTTCTTCTTCTTCTTTTGTTCTGTCTCATAGTAATTTTTTTTTGATCCTTACTAAAACATCCCGCACGATCTCCTTTTTAAGAGAAAAGGTCGATTGTTTCACTTTCTCTTGCAACGATTGGCGAACTTACGACCACGCCTGCGTTGGATTCTCATACGATTGATGCGGATGCCAACTCTTTTCTTTTCCTTTCTTATATTCCAGAGCTTTCACGCTAGAATTCATGAGTTTTTTCAATAAATACTATAGACATTTACAATCTACAATCCACGTGTGGAGATCGTGTGGTGATTCCATGCATAAATCAACATATTTTAATAATCTTTTCCATTACTCTGAAAGTCAACTCGTTTAATGATCATCTAGACGACATGTCTAACATGATTGGCAAAGAGTAAAAGCGCGGATTTTCTCTTCTTTTTGTTGATAATCGACATAGATGTTGATTGAAGAACTGGATGGACAAATAGACTTTTTTAAATTCATATTATGATCATCCTACTGGTTTATTGATTGAGAAGTTAGACCTGTACTTCTTCAATTGATTGTGTATTCTTTTAGTGCATCAATCATGTGGGAAGTACTTTAATCAAACTCCTCAGTAGCTAGGAAATGTTTTTATTTAAAATGATATTTAATTTGGAAATGAGAGCAGAGCTGATTATTTGATACAAATTAAAGCTTCTCCATATGAAATTGAACTTTATTAATTTTGTTTTCTTGGAGAATAGTTTTTTATCTCAGTCCTTGCAATAAAATAATATTCTTTATTTCTATATGTACATCTGTACGTGGCAAAGTAGGTCGGGTGCATTGCCAGAGAGCTCATCATCATGATCACTTGCGCGTGAGCTGACGAAGAGAACGGAAAGATGAGCTTCCAATAATGAGAGAAATAGACATTTCGTGTGACAAGTAAAAAAAGAATGCTTAAAGTTTTGACCTGTTTAAAGTATTATTAGTGCATTGCCGTAAGTTTCAGTAAAAGTGAATTTATAAAAACATCCAAAAATATGTTTTCATTTTTCTACTTTCTCAAATTCACTTAAAACTTTTTTCGCAAATATTTTAGACGCGGTCATGCTTTTTAAATTAATATTAAAATATGTACTTTTTAATTTCATAAGTTATAATTACAGCGATAATTAATTATTTTTTTTGTTATCATGATAAATGTTTCATTGGCAGTACACTGACAGCATAAACCTGTTTTTAAATAAGAGAAGCTCGAAATAGAGTACTTTCCTTTGCACTTTCTTTACTAATAAATTTTTTAAAAAGTTATGTGAGTCACTCTATCATAAAAAATACATAAAAGTAAATGTTCTTTATAAGTACACAAAATTACAGGTATTTAATAACAACAATAACTTTTTCTTCAAAAAAAATAATAACAAATTTTTGTATTCTCGACTCATAATACAAACAATGACTATACTGTAAAAAAAGAATAGTTTTTATTTAAATATACATCAATAAATATTTTCATATATTTCTACAGTATAAAGAAAACAGCAAAAACAAATAACAAAAATACTCCAATTTATTTATTATTTCAAACTAGACTCTAGTATTTTTCTTCTTGCCTTGAGTAGGAAAGAGTATCATATTTATGATCAGCTTTGGGATTGCGGTAAGATTTAACCGCATAACTGAGATACGATGGACTTACATTGGAGTAAGAGCTTTGATGTTCTGATGGTGAGGAAGAAGAGTACTGAGATGAGGGTTGAGAGTGACTTGAGTAATCATTTCCGCTGGAGGCAGCATAAGTAACACTAGGGCTTGAGTAACTGCTTGAACTAGCGTAATTGGCAGAAGGACTATTGTAACTTGATGAGTGTCCAGAGTAGCTTGAACTTGGTGGCGAGTAAATAACATTAGGACTAGAGTGGCTAGAAACATAGCTACTAGTAGGAGTTCCATAGTTTGTACTTGGGAAAGCATAAGCAGAACTACCACTGCTTGTACTGGAACTATAAGAATTTTCTGATGACGGGTGGTAAGATGAATCGGCTGAGTATGATGAAGAAGACAGTGGAATAGCATAACTGGTGCTATCATGAGACCCACTAGAAAGACCATAACTTGATAACGATGAAGATGGAGAAAAAGAGGAACTATGACTCGCTGAAGCTGTTGAAGGACTTGCAGAACTGTATGATGATGATCCGTGTGCTCCAGCAATGACTAAACCACCTGATACGCCATGAGATGATAAACTACTTGAAGAAAATGGTTGTAAACTATATCCTTGATGGGATCCTGAAGATATTAGACCGCTGTGACCACTTGAATAACCTGATGACGTTGGTGAACTATAAGATCCATGGCTTGTGAGACTCAAAAGAGGTAAACTAATACTATGAGCTCCTGATGCGTATGCAGATAATCCTTGACCTCCTGAGGCATATAAAGGAGACATATAGTGTTGCTGAGATCCTCCCTGGAGGCTAAATGTTACAGGTCCAGTCTTAGATGAAGAAGGAATCAACGAATGAATTCCATAAGATAAAGGTAACGAGTATGTTTGACCATTGTGACTTCCCAGTCCAAGAGATCCCAAGCCAAAATTACTTTGTCCTAAACTATGTCCTCCATACCCCGCAGAAGACTCTAATCCCTGGGAATTAGAGTGCCCTCCAGATAGCCCACTAGCAGCTCCTCCTGATGTGTAGCTACTGAGCGGTGCGTTAATAGGTGTGAAGTAAGAACGACCATTAGATCCATAGTTTGATGAATCAACTGTGCCTCGTTTATCCTTTGATAAGAATGGTATTATCTTCCGGAGTCGTCTTTCGTGCTTTGGTTCTCGTTCACTGAAGCCGCAAGAAATCAGGGCGAAAAGCCCTATAAATATCTGGGAAAAATAATCATATCGATTAGATCAGATTTAGTTGAATTAAATTTAGCTTCATAATTCTTTCAAACATTCATTACTTTCACTTGATTAGAGCATTTAACTTTTTTTGTTTTGGCTGTCATTATATGAATAATGTACTTTTTCTTTAAATTGGAATGGCAATTTTTTTTTATCTTACAGAAATTCACTGTAATTACTGTTGATCTTATTTATTTTGATTAAAAAATATTTTTTGTCATGAACAAAGAATAAATATAAGTGACATTTATTATCAAATAATATTAAATTCAATAATTCTTCCGCGAATATTTAAATAAAAAATTAGTATCTGATATAAATTGGCATTCCATATGGTGACATATTTGTTATTTAAATAAATTAAAATAATAAATTTTCAGAATAGTTTGTAATAGTTTAATTATATTGTTTAAATTGGAGTTAAAAACTTACGATGGATCGCATTTTTTGCCAAAAAGTCGTGAGAAGTTTGAGGGCACTCAATGATGACAACTGCAATGTTATTGAGAGAAGTGTGGTTTGATACTATTGCAACTAAGGAGACAGGCTTTATATTCAGATCCCCTCTTTTATGAAGAAATGAGAGGTCTAGGTGAAGGTAAGTCTATATGCGATATATCTATTTACGTTCACTGTGACTTTAGTGCAACTGTCACGCATTAAGTGTCACTATTAAAACAAATGTGAGATATGATCAAAAAGAATTAGTTAAACTATTTTATATCAAATTATTGAAGGAAAGTGATTAGTCATAGTTTATGGTACTCTCTCATGAGGCTTCTTTGTTGGCATATTAATTTAAAAGCTTCAGAACAGAAAATAAAGTCCGGAAGTTAGTATCCGTAGCAGAGTAATCAATAGTTGGTGAAAACACAAACAATAGGAGTGGGTGACATCGTTGATGATATTTTATAGTTTCTTCTTTTACTTCAAATACTGACTGAAAGATTGTTGCTAGGAGTTCTCATAGGGTATCAATCATACAATTGTTTAACACGTGACGAGAAAAATTCAACTGAGATTTCATCAATGAATAAATTAGAGAAATTCATTATCATTTTGTTTAGAGCCATTAGAGAAATCGATATATCTTATTGGATTGCAAAGTTTTCACAGATATAATAAATTTTATTTGATTTTTCACTCAATGACATGTAATTTTTAATATCTATCTTGCTGATAAATGTAGTCTAGAATTTATTTATTTTTTGAATGATTATTAAAGAAAAAACATAAAAAATAATGGCTACAGTAAAGATTATAAAAACCAAAAATAAAAGAAATAAACAATAACATAATTAAAGTTTACTGTAGGAAACAGTAGGAAGTTAGATTTTACTATCGATAATTTTTTAATATTACTTTTATGAAATCACGGAAGTAAAGTTTTACTATGTTTTCTTTTTGCTCAGTCATTTTTAATTTCAATAGATTCAATAGGCATTTGATAATGGTCAATTTACTTTTCACTCTCACTGAGTACTATAATAGTCTCATGAGATCAAGTTTATAAAAAGTGATTCACTTGTAATGTTCTTTGGAAGATAAAATACCTATCATAAAAGAGGGCGCGGTTCGTTTGTGAGTTGATCTAGCCAGCGTAAAAATTTCTCAAACATAGGCAGACAAAGGTGAAGGAAAAAAAATAATATAAATAGTAATTAATAAAAACATAATGAAAAGAAATCATGGACTGGTCTTTCATGTTCAATACAAACGGTAAAAGTCTGACGATGAATTAAAATGAAAAGCAAAAATAAGATTGGGGTCAGTAGCAGAAAGTGAATGGTCGTGACAACTTTTGTGACAGGGATAAGCCTTGACTTTGGACTTTACATCAACTATTTCTTTCAAATTATGTATAAAAGAAGTACTTAATGTTGCTGCAGTTTTTAACAAAAGTTGGAAAGATCTTTAAAAAGAAATATGGTGAACTGACTAAATTCTGAACTGTTTAATGAATAGAGAAAATTTGTATTCATCACAGAAATTAATTACTGCTTCATTAATTAACATTTATTTCTTAATGAGAGCTTATTTTGAGAAAAGATGATGCTTAACTTCTCTTTCATGCGGAAAAAATTTGTAGCTTTTTTTTCATTCTACTCATTAGTCCTGAAGTAAAAAAAGTTTTATGAGATATTTAGCACGTTCGTCTTTTACTTTTTCAATAGCTTGTGGGTATTATGAACGTCCAATACTGCCCGAGTAACCCAGAGCCAATGACATCGTGCTTAGAATGATCGAACGACTTTCGAGGTCACAATTCAAGTCTCACACTTCGATTAAACTGAAGTGTAACTGAACTTTCGTGAGAGTTCGTTTTCGACGGAAGTGCACGTGCTCGATTTTCTCGTCCACCCGACTTTCCAACATGAAAATATATAAAGTGAGAAGTATGACTGTAATTACATCTTCCATGTATACTTACAAAGTACACATCTAGTGTATTTTATCACGATCATTTGTGAGGGAAATAAGTACTATTATCAATAAACGAAAGACAGAGATAATAAATAGGTTCTAATTTATTTTAGCAATAAATAAATCTTGTGTATATACAATCTCGAATTAACGAGTTATTTGAAAGTCATACAGTTATTTTTTTTATCATAATTGAAATTTCATCCTGGCGGAGGTAAACAAACCAATTTAAGCTTATTTAATATTGCTTCACATTAAAGTGTTCCTTCTTTTTTCCTAGTTAATCTTTTTCTCCTGAAAGTTTAAAAATAATCTTAAAAAACATGTTCATTGGTCAAGGTGCGCCTTCATCGGCTTGTTTACCCTTTTTGCTCGTAGATGTATCTTTAAAATATTTACTTGCAATTATAATTAGCTCTCGTGTTATTATAATTACTTGTTTAATCAATATCTTGAGTATATGAATTTTTTTAATGAAATTATTACTAAAACTTAAAAAAAAAGTTAAACTTTCATATATACTTATAATATTGTACTTTCTGGAAATGTTGGAGTTGTTTCTAATTAAGATAGAATGAGTGTAAAAAGTAATTTAATGATTATAATAATAAACTACTTTGATGTATCAGAGGATTTGGCTTGAGCATAAGTTGGCGCATAGTTCCAGGGAAAAACGTACTGAGGTTTCTGTAGTTGATACGGGACATTTGGATAATAATACAGTGGATAGACAGGTTTAACAGGTTTAAGAAAAACAGAATTTATAAGAGCGGGTTGATTATATGTAGGATGTAGTGGGCTAGCAGGCGTTTGAACTTGTGTAACCGTAGGAATTGCTGGGAAAATAGGTTGTAGTGGTGCAGAAGAGATTGGATGAAGAGAGGATGATGATCCAGGAGAGTCTATTGGTTTTGGCGAGGTTGGAGTTAAAGTAGAGCCACCAATTAATGGCTTATTATTACTTGGAATTGTTGGTATTGGAATGTCAAAGTGAGTGGGTGAGGATTCAATGACCTGCCCAGGGGAATGAAACGAGTTCGAACCAACAAAAGTAGTCCCATAACTTGGTAGACTCGCCAAGTTCGTGCCTGCAATTAGAGTTGGTATAAATCCACCAGTTTGAGGAAACGGAAAGACCGTGGGTAGTTTACTTGACATGGGAACTAAAGTTCCTCCGTGAGAGCTTCCTTCTCCACTGTTTTGAGGTCGATCAACTGACGCGTTACTGATTGCTGTCGAAGAGGTGGTTTGCAGTGGGGTGGTGATGGTCGGAAAGCCATATGTCAAGGAAGGTCTATCAATTTTGGATGTTTGTGAATTCCTTCCTGATGAATTTTCTAGTCTTGTGCCGAATGGAACACCCTGAAGACCCAAGATGGATGCAGAATTATCTAAATGCGATGATTGAACTGATAAAAGTTTTTCATTTTCACCCTCATTATGCTGAGCATACCTAGAAGGATCCTGTACTTGGCGTTGAACCAATTCCTGCTGAAGCTGGGCAATAAGTCGATCTTTTTCTAGAGATTGAATTTGTTCCAAAGAACGATAAGGTTCAAGAGTTCCTGATGCATATGAAGGAAAAGACCTTTGCAGATTTTGAATACTTAAAAGCTCTTTTTGATTTGTTTCATGCCCCAAATTTTGATTTTGAAGATTAAGATTCACATTTGGTCCTTGATTATCAAATGATGGTGAATCTTCATTAATGGGTGCATAGTCTATATTCAATGCTGGTGCATCATACAATTGAGAAATAGCTCGAGAATGATCGACCAAAAATTGTGCAGCATCCGAAACTTGAAAATTAGGAGGATGTTGATTAATTAAATTTTGTTTGTGGTTGTTGATGTGTTGATCTGAATTTGCAGATGGTGCACTTGTTAAGAAGATTGAAGAGGTTTGATGAATTGGAAGTCTTTGATTCTTGGGAGGCAAATAATTTGCAAAATTCACCTTAAATGGTTCTTCGTTTTGACTAGCTATAGGGCTAGGTTCTATAAAATCTGTTTCTCTGATTGGGCTAGGAACTTCATAGTGAAAATTTCCAATTCCTAGATTATTTGACGGAAATCGTATACCTTCAGCTCCTGAATGAAATTTATTTTTATTTTGTTGAATTGAAGGTCTACGTGATGGATGATTATTGATTGAGAATTGCTGAGAAGTTTGCTTTGGAGGCCCATATGTTTCAAAAGGTCTCACGGGTACATTTAATCTCGAGAATTTTCCTCGATTTTTCGAAGATCCATTTGAAGTAAATCTACTTCGAAACTTTGCACGATTTGGCTTGGGATACGAATATCCAGAATTTCTTTTCTTAAGATTGTCACTAATTTTCAAATTATCATCACTGTAAATTAAACCTTCAATACTTTGATTCCTCGCTTCTAAAGCCTGCGTATCGGTTTTGTTTTCTGCCAATGATAATGTGACAGTAAAACCTATAATTATCTGTAATAAAAATTATTATTATTTTTACTTTTAAATTAAAAAAAGAATGGCTCTGACGATAGTAATAATTAAAATCTTACCAGAACAATATTTCTCATATTTACACAACTTTAATTCATATGAAAGTACTGAACGAACTTACAACTCGAAAGAGATCGGATTAGTTGTTACTACAGACTGAAGTCTGAGAAGAGAATAACTTTAATGAAGACACCTGCTACGCGGAACTAATTTCTTTGTTGATGGACGTGTCCGCGCTGACTAAATTCACCACCATACCAGCACATATATAAATACAGTTGGGCCGCGACCATCTACGAATTACAATAGACTTTCATGCCGGCTTTCATCAATAAGTCTTGAGCAATATTGTTACCAATTTGATATGTTACACATAACGATAAATGGTAAGTTGACCTTACAACCATTCGTAGATAGTCAAGGTTCAGCTCCACTATAAAGACATAAATACTAGAGAAACTATAAATCATGATATTTCCGTACGATCTACTCCGTAAGATATGTTTCTCATTCTAGAGAGGAAATCATTAAATTTTTACAGCATCACGAACGAATACTGAATATAACATTGAAGTCTTATTTCCTGATAAAAATGAACAGACAATATGAGGTCTCCGTAATTTCCAATAATGGAAAACAGTCACATAAGGTTTTTTGGAATTCCTATCACGTGTTATGGGCCAGTGAAAGTCTTTTTAAAGCTATTTTGTCGATGAAAATATTCTGATCATCTTTAATAAATAATGACCATTGTGCAATATCTGCAACTGCAGGTGAAATAATTTTTAAAATTATCTTTCTATCAATAAAAAATATTTTCTGTAAGAAAAATAATTACGTAAAAATATTACTTCTGTTTGAAATAATCGTGGGATAAATATAAATGAGAATACAAACAACACTTACCGGTTTTACGAGAAACATTATTACTTAGATTTAGTAAAATCTTAGAAAGTGAAGATACCCACGTAAAGCGACAAAGAATGAAGTAATATTGAATACTCTAGCCTTTCGTTGTGAGAAATACACAAATTTGCAATACTTCTATTATGTAATACTTGGAAAATAATGCCATAATTTCATTACTGAAATCATTTATTTTTTCTTTGATTATTAAATGATTCATTTCCTCAAGTCATAAATACACATTATTTTTGTTGATTTAATTTTTGATAGAATGGTGATATATATGTTTCCTTCTTTTAACGATTATTAATAATATAAAATATTTAATATATAAATAGATGATTACGAATTCTATTTCATCGAATTTACAATTAGTAATTTTGCTGTATATTTGATGGATAAATGATCTTATTGGTTTTTTTATAAATTTTACTTCAAGTATCATCATTTTATTGGATTTATCAATTTGATTGAAAGTACAATTGAATTCCTGAATCTTAGAAAGTAAAGACACGTACCAGGCATCAATGAATGAAGTAGTATTGACCACTCTGGCATTTGTCCAAGTGTTGATGAGTTTATTTATCATTTGTTACTCAACTTGATAATGTCTGATGCAATCAACGAACTAGAAAACAACGAATCTAACTATTATTTGCATAGTTTATTTTGAGATGTAGATGTAGATAAATCTACAAGCATATCATTAGACTACTGTACACAGCACCCTAACCAGCTAGTTACTTGGAATTTCAGAAAGTTTTTGAGCGTAAAATTTGTAGAACACAATAGCTAATTAATACCCGTAATGCAATTGGATGCTCCAAATTGTTTTTCGAGTGACACTTTCTACATCCTTTTTCAGCATCTACGTGCGATATTGCAAATTTTTTCAAGTTCAGCTGTTTCATTGTTTTTCTTTTTTTAAATATTAATATTCATGAACAAAAAAAAATAAAAGCTAAATAAAAATTTTCGCTATGGTAAATGATCTTGCTAGGAATAGTAAAAATGTATAAATTAAATAATTTTATAAGAAAGTTAAACATTCTGGATATTTACAGATGCATTTGAGATAAAACTATGATTGGATACATAGCGCTATTTATGCTCTACCGTAAGTAAATATCCAGGCCATTCGCTTTCATTTTTAACCTAGCATTTTTCTCAATTTCTCTGAATAACACGTAAGTAAAATCAAAGCATAAAAAATACTCCATTTACAAAAAGGATGAAAAATAGTCTAAATTTTTTGCAATTTCGTGTTAACAACAAGATTGTCGAAATAATTTTAACATAATGCTACCGAATTATTTTAATATCCCGTTGTTATATTTTCAAATTAATTTTCTTTTCCAGAGGTTAATGCATACGAAATATTTTGTCCGAACAATGATGAAAATGTAGCAAGAACATGCTATTATCCAGCAGCTATATCATCGTCAGACCAAGAATTATGTTGCTACAGTGTTGAACTGGACTATTATTATTGTTGCCCTTTAATTGAAAATAGACGAATGTAAGATTTCGTGTTCATTTTTTCAAGTTTTATAAAGACATTTTCTCTTCTGAAAGATCATTAATTGATGAATAGGATCAATGGCAGAAAAATAAGCGGAATTATTGCAGCTCTAGTAATATTATTTTTATTTATTTTTTTTCTTTGCATTATCTGTACAAGATGTCCTCTTCATAAATTAGTAAAAAAAATCCAAATACTTATCACGAGAGGTAGTAAGTAATCTTAACTATAAATAATAGTATACATAATACTACGTAAACTTATACTTGACTCCATTCATGTCAAACATTAATGCTTTAAACTAGATAATTCAATGAGAAATGATGATACTGGAGGAGTTTCAGCCGAAGATGTATAAGGCCGTATTATAAATTAATGCAGTAAATATGTGTATATATTATCTGAAATATGTCATTCGATTAATGTATGCGTGTATTTCTGTTGAATGAAAATTGAAGTAGTATTACAAAATCAGATAGAGCTAATATTAATAATAATCAGCATGATAGATTCAGAATAAAGTTTCATCATTTATAAATAAGATGTATATTGAATAATTAATCTTTGATTAATTAAATGATTTTTAATGACTTAATAATTCATTAAGATGTATTATGAAAATTAATATAAATATTTACCTCTCATCAGTAATATTCTCTAGATTCTGCTACTATCTTGTTTCACCTGAACCTATAATAATGTATAAGTTAATTAATTTTCAAATAAAAAATGAAAATAATTATTATCATAATAATACATCGAGATTTTATATCAGTGGTAGTGACGAATAATATTACATCATTAAATTATCAGTACGTTCAATGCATCATTTAAAAATTAAAACTTTGGAGATCGAATAAAGAATTTAAATATTTTTTAAAAAATTTTAATAGCTTTTATGTACCTTTGAATATACCTGTTGACCTATTTTCAAGTGAAATATCAATTTTCTATAATTTGTATCCAGCTGAGTTTTCATCTGTAACATGAATAAATAAAGTTCTATTTAGGCGACAAATATATGCTTGTGATTTATTAATATTTAATATATCATTTATTTATAATAAATATTTAATAATCGATTCAATTCATATCAATCGATTTCTATAATCTTATTTTAGAATTACTAGTCATGAAAATACAAACTTCTTACCTGAATGGAAATCGCTCTAAAAGTGCACGTAGAAAGAGTAATCGATAAGGATCAAGTGATGAGTTCTGTAAAAATAAAAAAAAAATTTATTTAGCATATAAAGTAAAAATAATCATGAATAGAAAGTATGCAGAGTTATCAATCAGATAGGAGCGAAAGACATTATCAATGTATATGCATCAATATCTATCAGCTGAACTATGAATTCATCATCCAGAAGGAGTGTGCAATACTTTATTTGTATTATAAAAAAAAACTCTTTTATTATTTCTAATAAAAGATAAAAATGAAAATTTTAAAATAAATGAGACTTACTCATACTCATGAACTTCAAGGTTTCTTGAATTTCGCTTGAACAAAAATACGAGGCACGTCAATGTGTTCTTTGAGATTAACAGTTCGTCTTTGAACATAGGAGCATGACACGGATTTAAATCCAACTGAATTAAATATCTGTTCGACTTCTTCCGTGGAAAAGTAATAACTTCTACATAAAAAAAAAATTCATTTCAAATAAATGTTTCAAATTAATTCTGAAAATAAATTGTTAATTAGAAAAAGCAAAATCCACTAAAAGTACCTTGTTCCATCTTGTCTCATGTAGAAATTTTCAGCTATTTTATGCCCTGGTTTAAATCTTAATTGAGCCATATCGTATAATCCATAATCTCTAAATAAAACCACGCCATTGGTACTCATTACGTCATACAAATGTTTAGCAACACTAAAAGAAAATGTGAATACCAAAATATTAAACTTTTCTTTAATAGTATTTAGTGATAATTTGCTTTCATAAAAATTACCTATGAAATTTCTGAGGATGAATAGCTGATAATACAAAGACTAGAGTAGCTAAATCCACCTTTTCATTGATTTCTGTAAAGCAACTATCAAGAGTAATGTCCGCTTGAAAAGCTTTTATTTTTTCCGGATCAAACAAGGAATGTTGCTGTAAGACAAATTAAAATAATAATTTTCAAACCAATAGCACAAAGTCTGTTAATGAATAATTTGCACTGAAAAGCTAATTAATTTATGACTAGTGGAGAAAAGCATAAGCAGATATTTAGTGTATATTTAATTTATGTGAATGTATTAATCGAGCTCATAAACTCACCTTCACGTAATCGATTGCTCTTGGTGATAAATCGCATGCAAATATCTTTTTGAATTTTAGTCCGTCTTCGATTAAAGGATAAATTAAATTTCCAACACCACAGCCTACTTCCAGGATAGATCTTTCACCTGTGTTAGTAGAGTCTAGCAATTCTTCAAATTCACGAGTGGTCCAATGACGGTCTTTGAAAAATTTTGTTTCATTTCGTTTATAAAAAAGATCCCAATGTTTTTTAGCTTCATTTTCTAACTGCTTGGCTTGAAATTCTGATACTAATCGCGAATCTTGTGCAAGCATTCGCTCGAATTCTTCTTCAGTGAGACGCTTCGCCACGTGGCCCGGCAACGAATTTTCATTTGACAAATTTTCCATTTTATTCGTTAAATTTCAACTTTGTTTCATTTTCAATTAATTTAATATGATATTTAAATATTTAATAATTATTAGATAACTGAAAATTTATAGTTAAATTTTAAAAAAAGTTGATTAATTACAAAAAATTCATGAATGTAATAAATACATACCTTACTCCAACGCGTCTTAGAATAAAATGGATGATGGCTGGAAGAAAACGGAGGGAGAACCCCGCTGAGTCTCCCATTGCCCAGTAGATGGCACTTCAAGTCTTCCTATTCAGCGTAGCGCGGAATTCATTTAAAATATGTAAACGTGCGAATAAATTATTTCATTAGTTAAAAATCAGAAAAGCCACTTTATGATTATAAATAAATCAAAGCGAGTTTATATAAAATATTGAATTAATTTTTTCTAAATTAACAATCATTTATTCATAATTATATTTTCATCCGATTTATTTCAATATGCATAGAAGAAAATAATATTTAAAAAAGTATAATCCTAATATATTATATAATATATAATGTATTCGGAGCAAGTTATTTAAACTTTGTAAATTGAAGTAAATTGAAAAATATACTTTTCATGCTCAATAAAGAAAATTAATGACTCAGACTTTCATACTGAAAAGAATTATGAAAATTTTTAAGAACAAAAATAATAGTTCACTTCTCTACTTGTGGCATAAATGACTGAAAAACTATTTAGATGAAAAAAAAATGAATTCTTCTGTCTCATACAGACTTTTTAAAAGTTATTGTAACACTTGGTGCAATTACAAATCTTTATGCAAAACTTTTTAGTGCATATTTTAATCTTCCCAACTTTAAAAATATGATTCTATCGTATCGCCTTTAAAAGCTAATTTTTTTCGCCCTATTCTAGTTTGTTAACAACTAACACATGAAATCGTCTGTACCAGAAATACTTTACCATAATTTCGACACTCCAAGATCTTTGCAAATTCACGCTTCAGTTTTTTTCTACAATCGATACAAGATAGAAAAAGTATATTGTTGAAATTTCTAAATATATTTGTCTCTAAAAAAGTATAAGAAATTATGATGTTCAACTGATGTGAGAAGCATTCATTCATAATAAATTTTAAAACTAGTTTACGCGTTAATTTAAATTAAGCTTTTCTCAGATTGAGTGTAATTAAGTTAATTAAAAAATGAGTTTAATCCAAATATAAATGAAGAAGAATTACGAAATGCTGACGTTAGTAATAGCACACTACTCTACTTACAGTTTCTAGCTTTAACCATCTAAATTTTAGATGACACGCTCCAGTGATTTCAAGTGGTCTCTCTTGAAAAGCAAGTTAAAACACCAGAAATTCGAGAGTCTCTAGGTAAACTTGGTGAGCAGATATTATCACTTCTTGTCTTCCTTCTTTTTTTTTTAATGCAAATTATGTATTTTTAACATGTATTAAATATATACATGAGATTATGTATCAAAGCTTAGTTTGGAGTGGACTTCACAAGTGTTTTATATAAAATATAAATCTTCATATATATATATATATTTTTATTAAAAAATAAATTCCTACTATAATGTAACAAATAATGTCGAAGGCTCTCTATTAAAAAACTGGCCCACGCAATCGTACTTTTCTATTGGTTAATTTAATTGTTGAGATTACTCAAATAGTGTTGACGACTGAAATTTCACTAAAATTTAATAAAATTAAAATGACTGGATTAAATAATTAAGTCAATGACTATTGTGAAAAATATAAAATTAACTGTAAATTTTTATCTTAATACTCATGTACTATGTGATTGAAATATTAATTATCTTTATAAATATAAGATAATCAGTCTAAAAACACTTGAAGCATACTGCACAGACAAAAATTATCTGTAACAGCAACAGATTTTCGGTTTGTTGCTATTACAAATTTTTTTTTTGTATACTTAACAAAAAAATATGTACAGGTATTACAACTTTAGTTTGTCATTACAACAAAGAAAAAAACTGTTGCAACTACAGCAATAATCGATAGAAACCAGAAAAATGATTTTCATATCAAATGGAAGTTTATAACAATAATCGTTTGAATACTTAATGTTTTATACACCTGATAATTTTTAACATTCTTTCTCAAGTTATGTAGATGAAATTGACATCCGTAACTCTTTTTGTATAATATCGACATCCGTTTTTAAAGTAATACTTTTACATTTTTGTGATTTTCATAAAAAAATTTTTCATTTTCAAACAGAAAAGAGAGATTGTACAAACTACACATATTCTGTCAGTTGATTTTTATAATTTTCTCTTTAGAATAACGAAAAATCACGTTACTCTATAAGAGAAATTTGAAATGTCATTTAAACTAGTAGTTCTCGCCTTTCGGTTGGAATGGAAATGAGTGCAATAGACATAAAAATCAATCTAAATATTTTTAACATATTGCAAAAAATTCGTGATCGGAATCATTATGAATGTTGTTAAATTTAGAAAAAACTATTTAATATTATTGATAAAAATAAAATAATACTAGCAAAACCATTGATTCTTTAATTTCATGAATCTTATTGTTTTTACAATATTCAAATCATTATAATATTTGTTATTAAATGAGAATAGCATACATAAGATGTTGAAGATAATGAAAAATTAATTAATCAGACTAGTCGGATAGTAAAGCTGCATAATAACCTAATTAAACAATAATTCGGTTGATGATTGTATTTATATTTGCAATAGCTTTTATTGTTGCAATTACAAACTGAAGTTGTGACATCACAAATTTTTTTGTTAAGTGATGTGCCGAAAATCTCTTACCGCGACAGATAATTTTTTTCCGTGTATATATTTCAATAGTTACTTCAATAGTTGCTAATTATGATAAATAGATACAACTATGCAAATCAATGATTTTACATCATTTTTGTATGAGCATCATCAAAGTAATTAATTAAAATAAATTTGTAAACATGTAATGAATGTCGTTTATTTTCCATCATGGTGGAGTTATTTAATTAGAAATCGTATATAACGCATCATTAATGAGATGCGTCTGTAAAAAAAAATTTAATTCATCAACCTCATTACCTATTTCAGTAAGACCATTAATTTTTAGTAATTAGCTCATTACGCAAGTAAATAATTAAAATATAAACTTATTAACTTTTTAATAAAATATATTTAATATAATCCTATTAAGTAATTATTAATAAGTTCTAGTGTTTTGTAAAATCTATGAAAGTATGGAAAATTATAATTTTCGTAAAGCTGAAGTAATTTCTAATTCTAAAAGTTATCGAATGGTTTAATAAATTAAAATTAAATTAGTTTTATGAAAATTTGAATTTAATAAGTGAAGTTTTTATTTTAAAAAAAAAATTTGAAAGAAAATTAGGTATTTTCCAAGAGTGATTTTAATTTTAACCAACCTTTGTTATTTTTAATTGATAATAAGTAAGTAGTAAAAATATATGTATAAACAATTATGAATGCAACAAACTTCATGAATATTAAATAAATCGATGCAAATGTTGGTACTATATGATGTTATAATCCTGTTAGTGATGTTCAGTAGAGGAAATGGTACGATATTTTCTTCATTTTAATATTCAGAGCACGTATCATCTTTCTCCAGTGTACTTGGAAAATAAAATAAAAGGAAGGAAAAGAAAAATGAAGAAAGATCTGACATCTTATACTAACAATATCTCGTTATTTATAAATATGTGCTGAACATATTGAGCCGAATATGTTGAGTTTTCACGAAGGTAAGGCTATTATGAAAACTTAGTCATTAACTCGAATAAAATATCTGTGAAAAATAATAATCTCAACACTTTTCACTTTAGCAACCGGAATTTTCACTATAAGCGCATTACCTCTTTATTATTGACTTTAAGCAGTTTTATCGTTGATGTCGATATTGAATAGAAGTAAATCGGCTTTTTTTTCCGCTATTGATACCAGAGGTATATCTGTTCTCCTTCAACCTGACAGAAACGCAACGACAGATTTTTTTTTTTATTATTATTATGACAAAATGCATTTTTTATTCTTTTTCATTTCAATGGAAACGTCAAGATGATATGGGAAGAAAGCTCGAGGAAGTGAATTCTCACGTCCTATGCCTGTGGCAGATGCAACTCATTGGTTTGTGAAAAATTGCGTTGACTAACGATAATCCTCAATGCAATGGCAATGTCACGTTTTCATCTTTCAGTCTGGCATCAATCACAAATATTAACAAGGAACAGGTGCATCAATAATTTCTCCAGGAGTTTCCTTGTAAATTTTGATTAGAGTATGAAATCACAAGTATGCACTCCAATACCCATTAGATTGAAAGGATCATCAGCTGCAAACTGAAGGATTTCATAATAAGAGATATTTATCTGTAACCATCAGCTTATTGTGTTTTAATTTAATTACATTTATTGAACTGATATTTTAGTTACATCAGTGTTTCAATTAAAAATATTCTCCAGTTCTATTTTGGTTAGTCTTATCAGATTATTTACTAGTTTTAATTAATTTTCCTTTTTCACTTGTTATTGAACCCTCAATGAACTTTTATTCTGTTGAGATAAGAATAAAAAACTTTTATATTTAAAAGAGGTACTTTTTTTCATTGTTTTTAGGATTATTAAGTTGAATTCTTATAAAAATCAGAAAAAAGTTATCATTATTGGGCTAAAGCTTTTCTTAGTCATTGATGAAAATTGAATGAGAGCTGAATTTAAAAAAATCCATCAATATCGTCTGTTAATGGATTAATAGAATGAATGTAACTGACACGAATTCTACATATTATCATGATAGAAAAACTAACTGAATTTCATTACTTTCTATTCCATTCTAGAATGCTGAAAACTTCAATTGAAGTTCAATTTCATGATTTTCTTTTATTTTTAGATCATGATTAAATGTGAAATATTAAGATTATGTAAATTATTCTTTTTCGCTGAGATAATAAAAATTTTATCAAATGTTTTAAGTTTTATGTGACTTAAAATTTCTCATGAATATTACTTTGGTTCATTTTTATTCGTCATTGTGGAACTTATGAGTTTTTAACTTTAAATTGTTAAGTGAAATAAGATTTTTATTACCTCAACAATTATTTCAACCATTGTTATATTTAACTTTTATACTTTTTTATTTTTATTTTAATTATTCTTTATTGTTGGAAAGTCAGTAGTTACAGAAAATTAATTCCCAAAATATCACAATGAATACTTGATCAGTGTCACCTTTCTTGATTAAATGTATTGACTTTTTACAAAGTAATATCTAATAAAAACTAGTAAAATTTTTTTTCCTCGCGACAATTGATTTCATTTATTTAAATATCCTCAATAAAATATTGATTTTAAGAAAAGTAGAATGCCCGAATAGCAGCAACAATATTCCGATTCTATTGAATATACCCATTGCTTTTAAGTTTTTCTTGACTTCCTCTAAGATAGACTGAATAAAAATAAAAACTAAGCCAAACTATAGCAGGAAAAAACTAAAACCTTTGTGAGAAGCAAACAAAAATTAGTTTTAAGATAAAATATCGTTTGTATTCTTTTGTTAAAACAAGCAATTTTCAAAGGAAGAATGAAGTTGATTAAAACGGTTGACAAGTTCACTTTGAGATCTCAATCATTATGGTTTTCACAAAGAAAACAAGATTGCTCTCTGTACACCTTGCTTTCGTAACGATCTGGCTGTGAATTAAGCTTTTATTATTGAAACTTTTATTGTATAGTAAAAAAATTCTATAGATAGTCGTTTTGAATTCAAAATTTTTACTAAAAAGGCATGTTCAAATGACTACCATATTGACAAGTTGGGTAGCAATCCAATTGGGTAGAACCATCAAGTACTATTTAAAGCTTGACAGTGAGAAGAAATTTCATGTAGTTGCTTATGCTAGACCATGAAAAGAAATGATCATTCAGATGGCCCTTATAGGAAAATATAGGTATAAACCTTCTTCAAGAGTGCTGACGTGTTCATGAAAACCTTTTTTATATCCTAATATTTCCTGAATCTTTTTCAAGAAATATATGAATACCTTAAATACTAAACTCTGAATAAAAATATTGAGAAAAACTTAAATGTTAGTATAAGTAAATATATGTACTGTAAACGAATTAGCAATTAGAGCATGATCAAATCTGATGTCTCACGCCTCACTGCGGCAAAGTACATTTTATCGACCTTTTTTCATTCACGCTTCCTTTCTGTGTGGTTTGTATCGTCACACTTGATTGAATTATTTTTTCCCCATTAATGTAACTTTTTTTTTTTTTAGTAAAATAAAGTACTTCTAACTTTTTAATGGCATATTTTAACTTGTTGAAAGTTTATTCTAACACTTGAAAAACTACTCAATTGATAAATGTCCATCTTTGATACTAAACAGCACATATTTCTTTGTGTTACTGAAATTTCTGATCTTCTTTCTTTTCCAATATTTTCATATATTCTGAATCCTATTTTTTTTTAATGAAAACATAATGGTATTTGAGAGCAGCTTGATGTAATTAAATTTTAATTATTGAATGACCCCTTGAAAAAACATCAAACAGTTACGTTAACGATATTGAGTAATTAAAAGTTATCTTCTAACGAAAAATATTTTCTTTTAATCGTACCAAGAAATTTATTAAAATTTAAATTTAGACTAGTTGAATATTTCTATCAGTTGTAAACAAGATGAAATGCATTTTTTAATTAAAATAATAATTATTAAGTATAATGTCGTTTATTAGGGAATATTTATTAACGTTCAAGTTCAATTTTTTTTTATCTCTTAATAATAGTTTGAAAATTTAATACATGTGATTCAGCTATTTACATTCAGCTCCTTATTATTTGACTACGAATATGATAAAAAAAAGTTCACGTACACTTAGCTTTAAATAAATTACCAATTATTGTTAGCATAGTGTAATCTTTTATAAAGAATTAAAGTATAGTAAGTAACAAGATAATATATTCAGCTGAGGTTGCCACAGGAATGTAGCAAGTAACAAATGGTACAAGGATCAATAAAGTCTTTGGCAAAATGAGCAACTGTATTGTAAGTACACAACTCTTTAGTTCAATAAACCTCAAATTATTGCCAAATCATGATCATATATAGCCTTAGAGAAGCTTAGGACTTAGAATAAGCTTCTATTTACCAACAAATTTTGAATGTAAATAAAACATTATGTACTTAATAATAAATAACATCTTCTGGGACTTAAGTGATGATTTGTGGGTTACATGAGAATAGATGATTAATTTAATTCCCAGAGAAACAAAGAGTTTTCGTATTTTATTAGGAAACATAAACTTTACGATAAAACAATTCAAGTGTACAAGCTAATGTACCCTGAATCCGTCACTTGATATCTTGATGTGCTGGCTCAGACATAGTTTTAGTTCGTGAGTGTTGTATAATGCAAATCACTAAGTTTTCACTCCCTCTGAAACTGCTCTAAGTCAATAAATAAGATAATGCAGAATCTATAATTCAATAAACTTTCAAAGATTTATTAAAAAGAAATGAATTTCATTGCAATATAAAATTGACTGGTTGAGTGAACAATATTACACTGTTTTTTTGACGATTTTAAAATATTTGATTATTATGTATTAGATTTAGATTGAAAGAAAGTTTTTATAGGACCTTTCATTAGTACCATATCTACGACATTAAATAACGACATAATGATGCAATTTGCAAGTAAAACATGATGTCAGCACAGGTATATAATACTTGAGATTTGTCAACGAAAGTATCATTCTCACCAACGAGAGAAGACAATTAAGATTGATAGCAAGAATGGCTTTTAAGGTTTGTTGACCATTCATTATTATTAGAATATTATTTAAAAATATATTTATGCAGTATAATAGAAAATTGTTTCTTATTATTTTTTAACTTTTTTATTATTTATTATTATTATTATTATTATTATTATTATTAATAAATAATAATAATAATATGTTGTAGAAAAGTTTAATTTCACTTAATCAACTGACTGAAGTTTGTTGTTTTTATTTTTTACAAATTTGTGAAATTGTGCACAATTTCAATTATTCTCCGAAAATAATTACATTTGGATGAATTAAATTTTGCAATTTAATAATTAAAAACTTTCAAGTATTTAGTAAAAACTATTTGTCATATTAAAAGTTACAATACAACACTGCAAATCTTGATTGTCAAACACGTGTTATTTTTGCACGCCTAAGTGTATTAGAAATGACGTCACATATGTGATTAACATTTTAGTCATTTGTAACATACTTCCAATCGTGTAAGAAATGACTACAATGTTAAAGAATACAAAATAATTTTCAAAAGCTTTCCATGCTACGCATTCTAATTCATTGAATTTTTAATTTTATCTTTTCAATATATATATATATATATATATATATATATATATATATATATATATATATATATATATAAAAGTACTTTGGAAAATACGAAATTGTTAGTCAACTATAAAAACACAATTTGACTTATAAAAAGGAATATTTTTAAGCTTTTTCATATTTAATTAAAAATTATTTTTATTGCTAAAAGTTAAATGTTAAGCTCAAACAAAAGCCACATTCCAACATACAATAATCATTTCCAAAAATTTAAATACGCAGTGGTATTTGCATAATTTTTATGCATTTTTATTTATTTACTTTTTTTTCAATTAAACAAAATTTTCCAAAACTGAATAATAAAATATAAATTTTAACAAAATTACTTGAATCAATGTAATTGTAAAAGAGCTTTTGCCATTCAGAAGCTAAAAAATATTATAACGCGAGAATTAAAAGAAAATATTCAGAGAGAGGATATAACAACGGCTTCGTGAGTTTTAATCGCTCGTTTTTTGTACTTGTATCTTTTTTTGGCCTCTACACTCCACTTTGTACTCGTCGTCGGCAGTTCGTCGTAGTTTTAACGGTAGTGGCTCTTGTGGGAGTAAAACAAGGATCAGCAGGTCACGCGCACAGTTTTGCCCACTTCCATGGCCCAGTAGAGGGTCCAGGACATGAAGTAGTTGTACACGACAAACATGGATACCATCACGGCGATTATATTGCTCATCCCAAATACGAGTTTGCGTATGGCATCGAAGATCATCACACGGGCGATTATCACAGCCAAAAAGAGCACCGTGATGGTAACTAAAACCTTCAATGATATTGTTGCAAGCTTCACAAAATACTTAACTTTATTTTATATCTATACCTCTATAAAAGAAGATTACAGAAGTGGTAATTTTAACTCTCAGTACTTTAGTGATATTATTTTTTTTCAAGGCCACCATGTAGCCGGAGAGTATACGATTAAAGAACCTGGTGGCAATGTTAGAACTGTCAAGTACTACTCCAACCCTCATGGAGGATTTTTCGCAGATGTTCATAATTCTGGGGGTAATGATCACTCTGGTTACCACTATGGAGGTCATCATCATGGTCATGATCATCATTATGGTGAACACCACGGATATTATTAAATTATTTTAATTGTTTGCTCGACTTTGATACTGAAATTGTAACTTTCTTTATAATCTCGACAATAAATATAATATGCAACAATTAACAAATATTTATTTTTCCTGACCAAACGATGGTTTTATATTTACCTCTAGAAGAAAAGCTTTTTCTTTAATTGTCCACATCATTTTCATTATAATAAGCTTTGTCTTTGTTAATCTACCTAAACTCTATTTGTAAGAAAATTTAGTAAGAAAATCTTGAATTGTTTATAACTTGTTCCACTATGAAACTAAAGTTTATTTTAAAATTTAATTTACTAGGCATATATGTTTAACGTGAGATACGCATACTTTTAGTATGAAAAATCAGTGAGCTTATTAAAATGTTTCCGAGTTAACTGATAATTATCAGGATACTTTTATTTAATTTTTCAAGCATCGATGCCTTCTCTATGCTTCATTTTATTCTATTTTATTAATCGCCGATTAACAGTAATAATAAAATCGAAGTTGATTTAACTGTATTAGACTAATTAAAAAATAATTCTACCAATTATCAAAATGATTCGTTTTTCAGTACAAAAAAAAATGTATGAAGTGAAAAAAATCATCAAATGAATATTAGTCTTGTTGATTTAGTTACTGGTATATTTTTTATTCATTCTGTATCGCTTTCTAGTTCTTTTTTCTTTGTAAATAAATAAATTGGTCAGATACCGTAGAAATATTCAGTAGAAAAATTTGAACAATGGAATAACGAACTACATTGCATTGTAAAATATTGAACGTTTCAAAACAGTGTATGTACTTGTAAAGAATAAGGTAAATAAGTCAAATAAATGGAAAGATGAAGGCAGAATAAAATACGATACAGAAAAATACAGAAGAGTGAATTCGTAAGTGGGCCACGGCATTCAAGAAGCTTTACATATGGATAAAATATAGTCTGGTAGTCAATGAAGAGAAACGGTTTACTACTCGTTTGACATATTGAGTCTAGTAATCTCAACGATTATTGTCGTCGATCACAAATATTGAACTTAAGTTTCCATTCGAGTGTAATTCAATACAGACACCGAAAGATATCTCGAACAATTTACCAATTGTTACCATTATATAGATTACTTTCAAAGAGATAACTTTAACTGCAATTTATGATTGATCCAATTCAAATATTGATATTGAGACACTTAATTTAGTGTGAGTATTCTCGAGGGATTATGACTAATTAATGAAGAATGACCCTCGAGAATGATTCCATTGACGTTTCGATAACGAAATTTTAATCATTTGGAATAATCTGTGATCTATAAATGTCCTTTGACATATTTTATGCAAATTCTATAATTAAATATATAACAAATATAGAATATCATGAATGAAAATTGGAGGTCATTATAATTATGGTAAATATATTTAATTGTATTTAGATATGATGACGTAGCCATTTATTTAGAACTGTTTATTGATTTTATAACATTTAATTCTCAATAATGTGAAGATATTTTAGTATTCCATAATCAGTTTAAGTGATTAAATTTATGAACAAGATTATGTTATTTTCATATTAATAACTAGTATTATTAAGATTAAATTGAATTTCTTGATTAATTAGCTTTGAAAAATTACAAATTAAATTCAATTTTAAAGACTGATTTATTTCAATAATTTTTACTTATTCTTAAGCTGAAAAAATCACGTTTGTGAAGATTGAAGATTAATCCTCTGTAAATGAAACTTATAATGGATTTCGAAAATCAATTTTCACTCGGTCAATTACTTGGTTAAAAAAGAGGATTAATTGATTATGCAACTGGAAGATTGATAAAAATTTCATCAAAATATATAATTAGGAAAAATTATTTTTATTTGCTGCAACAATGAATGAAGATAACAGAGTTTCTGAAGGAATTAAAAGATTCTATGAACTTATATGAATGTAGAGATGTCAAAGGAATGAAGTAGAAAGACATGACATTGAAAGAGAATAAATATAATTCAAAAATATAAAAATCTGATGACTTAATGCTGACATGTTTCATTCTTTTAAACTCAAAGTGAGCGTTATGAAGTAGTTTATACTGGATATAAATTCTCTGTCTAAATTTGCATCAGGGTGAAAACAATAGGGTTGAGATAGGGTAGCATCACATAAGCCAAAAAGCTCGAAAAACTTCATGAAAAGTCAGCGTAGGATAGGAGTATCAAAGCTTATGGAAAAGTTTTGTATGTTTACCCGCGTATTAACTTTTGCATGTCATGCAAGCATTCATTTGCTGACTGAGTTTTCAGAAGATCTACAAGACAAAAGTTTAAAACTAGTAAATGGAATAAAGTAATAAGTTTATCTTATTTCAAGTCTTTTACACAAAATTATGCTTTTTATTCTTAATCATTATTATTATTATTATCATTATCACCATAGTATATAGTAATAAGAAAGATTGCAATTTCAAAAAAACTCAAATCCGTTAGAGTAATTTTAGCTCAAGTTACAATCAGCGAAGGTTCTGAAAAGATGTTAAGTTTTTTGTAAGCTGAAGGAAAGATAAGAAAAGTTCAAAGCCCATGAAAGAAAAGTTGCAGACATTTACTGAACGTAAACTTAGTACAAGCCGTGTGAAGATTCATTAGATGTGCTTGTTTTTGGCTGCTGATAACTTTATGGTATCAAGACTTAAGGAATAAAAGAATAAAAATTGTGTATTCAGTACATAAAATAAGATGCCTTGAGGAGTCTTTTTAAGAAGCTAAATATTTTATAGCATACAAGAATATTATATTGCTATAGAATCAACATTTTAATCATTTCATTTTTCTTACCTTAAGTTAAATTTTCATCTAGTTAACTTTAATACTTTACCATAACGTACTACCCGTAAACTATATACTTTTTTCACTCATCTAAGCTGATTTTGTAGTAGAATCACTCAGGTATTTCAATGCATTCCAAAGTTTTAAAAAAATTTTTTCGTTTTCAATAGAGTTTTTCTACAAGGAACATTCAAGCCAATTTACTACGACTTTTAAGCTAGGAACTGGTCATTAAATTTATTAATTCTAATTGAAAAAAGTTCTTTCACGAGAAAAAAATTATATAGTGAAAATTACTATAAAAGCAGAAGGGAAATTTATTGAAAAGTATATAGTAATGAATAGATAAGATGAGGTTATAGGTTCATTTCCTCAAGTAGTGTAGAATACTTTTTTATGTTAATATTTCTTGTATAAAGAATAAAAATTACCATTATTCTCGGGAAAGTACAAAAGATCTTTAATTTTGTTTCAATTTTGTCGTTAATCCCATTTATTTTGAGCTGAAAAAGATCATTCGAAAATAGATAACTCCATTTCTATTAGTTTTTATTTTTTACAAAGTATTAAAAAATAGTAAAAAATTTTGATGAACAAATTTAACAAAGAGAAATAACAAGCTTTACAACATCTTATCAATAATTCTAAATTGACAATAATGAAGTTTTATGGTACTTTGACCTGAATTGGATTGAAGACTATTTCATCAGTCAATCACACAGTGTTCATTCGTTTACTAGTACTCTTTTCATTCAGCTGTATCAATAAAATATATATTCATGATTTACATATGTGTTAACATTTATTAAACATTCCTATTTGAACAAATATTTAATCATTTCCTGAAAAAATTCATTGCAATAAATGAAATATCTCTAACAAAACGTTAAAATTCCCAAATACAAAATGCTCCAGTACTTTGATATGCACTCAAATGAATTCTTTTTTTGCTCAATTCAATTATTTATTAAATATCCATTTATTTTAGCTAAAATTTTAAAAGAAGGACATTTTGTCCATAAATAGATCAAACCAAAGAAGTAAAATACAATAAAAGAACGTTCGAGTCCCATTTATAAATAATTCATTTCTCTTGAGAAATAATGCAAGGAAGAGAATTATCGATACTTGGAGATGAAAAATTAATAAAAGTATTAGTAACTGATATTATATTTTTCATTTAAATAAGAGGGAGAAAGCGAAAGAGCAATATAAATCCTATTGACTTCTTGGAACTCGACCTAAATGTCGATCTCGTGGTACATAAAGATCGGACGCTCGAATGAGATACTAAATTTTCACGTAACGATAATTTCTCGATATCCGCGCCCTCCAGCACTCGAACGCTTCTCATTTGCCGGATAGCATTAGAGTCTTGGAGTTTTTCCAAGATACATCTGCCAACACTCGGAAAAAGATGTATTGCATGAGACGACGTTTCTCGCCAACCTCTCCTGGTATACAGTCGACTCATCATTCTTGATGAAATTTTGCCGAGCCACCGTCGCCGTCCTGTAGCATGAATATCACGAGTCATAGATACCAATTCGCTTGGCTTTTTATTGCGTATTCACTTGAAATCTACTCGATTTCAGGCTTTCCAAAATTTTTTATTACATCGTTTGATCCAATAAATTTTTTACAATTATTACTTTCTGTTTTACTATTTATTCAGTACTGTTTTCATCCATTTTTTCTTACGGAAATTTCCTGCATTTGATTTTTATTTTAGTCAACAATATATTTTGTAGAAATCTTTTAGAAGTATAAATGAATATTGTTCACTAGTTGTTTAAAAAAATTACTGTAAAATTGAAGAATACATGAATAGAAGAAAGTTTTCAATTACTCAATCATCAGGAGCATTTCCGCAATTTAACTCAAATGTAGATTATAAATCATATTAACTTATCAAATACAAAAAAAATTTTACAGCACTTCCTCTAACAGTTGTGTAACTCTTTTATTTTCACATTTTTTTTCGTCCGATGCATAATGGAAAGGATGATAATTTCTCGCACATCCGTCTGATCCGCGCCCCCGTCGATTAACAGCGCGAAAGCGATGCTTTTTACACTGGAGCCCAGATTAATGGAGTTCGCGAACAGTTTTTGCAACGAACGCTGCGCAAGAGTTGTTATTCATGTCTCTCTCTCTCTTTTGCTTTAATAGTCAAGTTGAAACTTTGTTTTACTCTCTCTCTCTGAACCCCGTGCTC